CAGCCGGACGACATGAATGTGGAGAGGCCGCGAGAATAAACAACGGCAGATCCAGAACCCCGGTCTTCGGGAAGAAGCGTTGACGGCCGCTAAGCCTGAATCGCTGAAGCCAATCTTCGTGTTGACAGTTGAGGCTTGACGTTGCCGTTCCAGGGAAGCGGTCTGTGTTGGGAGTGAGCAATTGAGTGATGCGATGCTGTGTTGCCATTTCTCCAGCTTTATTCTGCGACTAGAATATGCAGTCCTTTCCCCTATTTCTTTCCCTTTTGTGTCAGATTGCTTGATTTGGAGGCTTTGTCGTGTTACAAAAAAGAGATCTTCTGGCGTACAATGTCAAGTTCGCCTCTTTACATTTGGTGGCGCTGGGACTGAATGTTAACCTTGAAGCTTGGAGTTTCAGGGGTATGGATGAAGATGGGTGGGGGAAACGCCTCTTTTGAGATGATTGAACGACTTCTGGCATACCGGTTTTGGAATTACTTGCATCTTCTTTAATCAAAGTTGTTATTGTCTGCATTTCCGGTAACGGGAAGCAATGACCAGTGGATCTTGCGCTATCGAGATGATCGTAGGGGGATGGCGGGAAGCTGTGCAGGATAGAAAGGGGCAAAGCAAAAGATTGAAGTGGGTTAGTATCATCTCGAAATAATGTGCATCTAACTCTCCTGTCATCACATATACTTAGTAGCCATAGGTGGTCAATTTCAAGTTGAATTTTATATCATGTGGAGGATCGAAGCTCGACCAGGGCATGTGCACCTCGGACACTTAATGTTGCCAAGTGACAGCAGCTCGAGGACTCTGTTATTGTCTGTCGAAACTCGTTGCCAGCTGTCAGGGCTTGAGCAGAGTACTACTTATTTTTCTCAAACTTCTTCCTCAGTGCAAGAAAAATATTTCCTTCTCCTTCTCCTTCTCGAGATTCACCACACGTTCTTTGAGCACAACTTCTTCACCAACATTCGTAGTTGTCTTCAAAGTTAGACGAAGCCTATTCTATTCGTTGTCACATTTTCCTTCTCAAGAAAGGAAACAATTTTCGACCTTTGCCTTTTCGAATTTTGTCCTCCCAAGCATCGCGTTTCGTTCGAGCAAGATTTGTTTTTGTTTTTTTTGTTTTTGTGACCCAAAGAGTCACATCATCGTCAATCATCCCATCGAAAGATTCATCACATCAGAATAGTATGTCCATATGCCCTTCGTCTCTTCCCACCCCCAGCTTCTCTCTTCCCCACCGCGTATCTTCAGGACGGGAATCTACATCATCACCGTGCATAGCAGATCCATCTCTAACCATCATCACAGACCATGGATAATCAGGCAGCGGGTAGTGACGGTCAGTTAAGCTGGCTGGTCTTTTTTAGGCGGGAACAGACGGACTTACTTGTAAAAACAACAGCAGGTAACCCTCCAGCCGGGAACGAAGCCTTCCCGGGAGGCCAAAGCTTTGAGGCAGCGCCAGGCTTTGGCAACGGTGATGGTACCGATCCTGTGTACCATCACCAATTTCATCCAAACTGTGAGGAATGCCGGAGACAAGCCTATCTTAGGCTTCAGCAAGAACAGTTTCTGGCGCCTCCCCAAGTGTGGGAATCGATGGACCCCAATGCGCAGTTCTATGAACTACGTCGATTGAACATGCCGGAAGACGAGTTCTTTCAGTCCCTGTCCGACTTTGAGGTATGTGTTGTTCATTCTTCTACGCCGTGTCTACCTTGGTGCATGGTGAATGCTATACTGACTTTGAATGACTACAGGACGTTAACTTTTTCAACCAGCCATACCTGGCCCAATTCCAGGAGCACCAACACCAGCAGGAATACCAGCAGCACCAGCAGTTCGTTCCGTTGCTCCCAATGGCTGAGGAACAGCAACCAGCATTCGGGATGCAGAACATCCCAGACGAGGTCATCGAGCCTCTTCTGTTCCAGCAGGTAGCACCTGGTGAGGCCTTTGTGCCTACAACTTTCCAGCCAGCAGCATCTGAGCCCATGACGGTTCAACCAGGAGTGTATGGGCCGGCTGAGCCCACAATTTATATGCCGACGCTTGTGCCTCCGGGCGTTGAGGCTTCAATCTATGAGCCTGCAGAATTCAACTTTAACACCTTGCCTCATGAACCTGTGCAGCAGCCGATTCAGGGCGAGCCTTGGGCAATGACCCACGACGGCAGTCTCTTTGAGCCGACTCCTGAGGATGGCTTCAGATATGAAGCACCTGGCGAGGAACGCAATGTGTTTTCGTCTGCCGCCCCGCAGTTGAATGAAGCTACTACCAGCATGGTGGGTATGCAGAACCCAGTTCAGTATGAACCACCAGTTCCCAGCCAAGCTCCAGTTCGACCCCCTCGTCGGCTCCTCCCGTCCAACGGTCAGCGCGAGCTGCCTGTTCACAGGCAGCCGGAAGGTCGTGCCAGACGCATGCCCCTCGTTCAGCTATCCTCTGAAGAAAGTCTCGAAAGAGCTGAGAAGGACCTTTTCCTTATAGAGTCCAGGAGACAGAACATTTCCTACAAGGATATCAAGCGGTTGGGAAATTTCGCAGAGGCAGAGTCGACTCTGCGTGGAAGATACCGCACCTTGACAAAGGACAAGAAGAATAGGGTCAGAGACCCAAAGTGGACTGACATTGATGTGAGTTTAACCAGCAGTAGTAGTAATATCGCGCCGTGCTCTAACTTTGCTGTCAGATCCACCTGTTGAAAGAAGCCGTCCGAGTTTTGGGTCATGGTTTGCACCCGGACCGGGCTAAGCTCTCCTGGATGGCGGTCTCGAGATATATTAGCAATCATGGCGGTAGCTATGATTTTGGCTTTTCGACTTGTCATCGTCGATGGCTTCAGCTGGAAGCAGATGGCCAGTTGGGAGATACTGGTTACGACGACAGCTGGGCTGACGAGGATGAGGATGCCGAGACTCTGGCCGATGCCGAAGAAGAACGCAGTGATCATGAAGAAGACCAGGACAGTGTCATGGTCGATGAGGACGATGAGGACGACCAAGAAAGTGAGGAAGAAAAGAAGGATCCCCGTCAGATGACGGAGGATGACGAGAATGAGAGCGACAGTGAGAGTTCCAGCGACAGTGACGACGAAGACGCCGGCGTTCCGATCAAAGCTGAGATTAAGACGGAAGAAGAATGAAGGAAACTTGAGAACGCTCTTAAGGAACATGACAGCACAAAGAAGGCGCGCTTTGTTTCCTTTGTCTCACTTGGCACTTTGGGATTTTCTTTTATTAGTTTTTCATTTGTTGCGTTCAGCACGCTATTCGTCACGAGAACAAAGTCTCGCACAAAGGGAGTTTTAGGGAACAAGGTTTTAGGGAACAAGGGATGGGGAAATTTGCTTGCTTTTTCGGTTTTCATTTTGTTATTTCTTTGTCGCGTTTTTCATTTTTACATTTCGCATGGCATACTTTGCGGTTTAGGCTTTGCCTTTCAGATTGCATCACATACTTTGCATTTCGCATTTGCCAAAGACGCATACCAAAGGGTAGCAACATCACGGATACGGACTAACACGGATACGGAAGGACCAACGGTCAGAAAGGCGCAGAATTTTATGTTAGAGTAAACATTTCATCTCTTCTAGTTCTAATGCATGGCTCTTTAAGTCACTTGGTCTACTTGCTGCTATAGTTTGACCTGCTCATCTATGACCTCTTCCCGTGGAACACCGATATTCTTTAGTACGGCAAGCAATTCATTTGGGCTTTTCTTCAAAGCATCCCACTCTGCTTCGCTCTTCACCAGTGCTGTCCCTGCTAAGAGAGTGCCGTTTAGAGCGAGGGATCCAACTGGTGAGGATGTTTCACTGCTTTTGATTTCGGAACCTTCGCTTAGACGAGGGCATATGACTATCGAGTCCTTTGTCATGGCCATGTTGTAGCTGATTCTGGCTTCTCCAGTGGTGGGAATTTCCTCTGAGGCTGAACTTGTAGCTCCTGCATGCTGAGCAACTGCTTGACACGCCTTTTTGTAGAGACGGAGATAGGCGGCGTGGACACTTGCTGGGGAAGTTTCCGTGCTGATGGGTTCTGAAAAAGCAACAAAAGGTGTCTTTTCTAGTTTATCTGCCTGTTGAGCGAGCACATCCCATGACGAGTCTGTGTCTAGGCCGTCCTTCATCCGGGAGATGGGCAAGAGCTGAATGTGTCTATGAGGTTGGCTTGCTCCAGAGTGCTGGCCTCCATTGAAGAAGGCGAAAAGACCATCATCGTGTGATTCTTTTTCCAGTGAAGTTGAAGTTGAAGAGGTTCCGTCTTGCTTGGCCTGTTCATAGGCGTCGATGCAGGCGAGCGTGGCTTCAAGATCGGATTCCTCTAACAGATGAGTCTGCAGCTTGTACTCTTTGGTCGCAAGGATGAAGTGCTCCGGAACAACGGCAAATTTGTTCAAGACTAGGAAATGAGATGGTCCCAAGTCTGTGATGAAGAGCGAGGCTGGAGGATTGGCAAAGGGATCAAACGGCTTGCGCGGCTGTGAGGGATCTGGAGGGGGGCCTTTGGGCTTGTTTGCCAGAGACGGAGAGAATCGCAGTTGGAACTTGAAGGTGTGTTAGACATCAGTTGATTTTTGTTTCTTTTATACTTTATCATAGATTGAGTATATATGGAGAGAGATGGACACGTACGGGAATAGAATTGACATGGAGGATGGTGACTTGAGTGGGGAAGTAGTGAAGCTCATTTGCAGAGAGGGCTTTGGAAAAGGTCGTCTTGACGAGTTCATGGAGGTTTGCGGGAACTTTCAATCGCGACATTGTGGTGATGTAAAAACGGGTAAAGATGATCAGTTGATAATGGCGTTTGTATTGAGATGGACGCTTTATAAGTAGGATTGCCTCTATTTTATGATGCAAGATGGATGACCTCGGAGAAAATGGTCCGTGCGCTATTAGAGGTTGGACAGATGCCCCTCCATAGCAGATCGGCATTCAAAATGATAGCTTCAGAGTAAGCAACAGATTTGGTGTTTCGTTTGTCTAATTCATTCTCAAACACTTTATCAGGGAAGAAGTTATTAATCATTAAGAATTCAATATGGCTATCCTATCTTCTCAACTCGAATTTATACAGTTCATGCTCGCATTGCTATCTATATCCCCGGCAAGCCAATCACTCCTCGAACAGCCGGTACAAATCTAGGCACATAATAGATGGTGTATATCCCTACGATGGCGGTCAAAAGCCCAGTAAGCTATAATACGGGTTGTCAGCTTTCTTTGTTTCTCTCTATCTCTCTCCACATCTCATATCAAGCGACTCACCTTTTCAAACCACGTGTGAAAGTATATGGCTGTCATCAGCAGCATCCACAGGTTCAATGACATGATGCCTATGGCCGTCTTTCCTGAGATGTTGAACACGGGCTCTCCTTTGCCCTCCCCAATGGCCGTCTCGGACTCTACGCTAGCGCTCTGAACAGTTCCGTCAGAAACGACGATGCTTCTCTCTTCAGCTAGCCATCCGCTGAATCTGAGAGCCGACCAGCCAACTTCCTGCATCAAAAACGCAGTTCCCAGCACCAGAAGAAAAACGTGCCCCGAGATATCGTGGCCTCCCTTCCATTTACCCCCAGCCGCCTTACACGCTACGGCCGTCAACATCTCTTTGACGGAACCATCTCCCATGGCAACCTCTCGCTGGGCCAGCTCGCATTTGCCGCCGGTCCACCGAAAGCTGCGGTCAATAATGGGTGGGCCAAAAAACCACTGCGTGACGAAAAACCACCAGCCCGTGACGGCCACCCACCGCAGCCCCGCGCGGATTCTCCTCATCAAGACGACTGCAGGCGGCGTCTTGCCGGTGGGCTGCACGAGGAGGGAAAAGACAAAGGCAAAGGTGATCCATCCCCAGCCTCGCTTGACGTAGAAGACGTTGAAGACGTTGTTCTTGCGGGCAAAGTAGCCGGGCGCCTTGCTCGGGTCTTGGTGGTGCGACTGCGACACGTGGTCATATTCAGCGGCTCGGATGTCGGGCGAGAGGACAGAGAAGATGGTGCCGAAGACGAGGATCGCGGGGAAGATGCCGAGGGCTATTCGCTCGAGGGGCGTCGGCAGATACGGCGGATGGTGTTTTGAGACCTGGTTCTTCTCTTGGTCTTGATCGTGGCTCGTAGGGGCGGCCATGTCGCTGGAGATGGAATTGTTGGGATCAGAGTTGGATGTGCGGCGTCGAGGTGCCATTTGATGCTGGACAGGAGAAAGAAAGGAAAAAGAGTGTGAGGATCTAGCGACTCGCAGAAAGACGAGAAATCAACGTGTTGCGATCATGAAGAATGGCAAGGGAATGTGTGAGGTTTATGCGATGTAGCTTGGAAAGGAGCTGTCACTGCAAGGCTGAGAACTTGGGCTGTAAAGTGTATGACGTCGCCGAGGCACTAGAAGTTGGAAGATTCTGGGTTGTCTGTGGAGATGATTTAGTGGCGATTATTTTAGGCACACGTCTTGATGATATCAATATGCTTGTTATCTATCGATATGGTCTGATCTTACCCCGAATATTGTATTGCTTGGACTGTTGCCGTAAAGGTGTATTGTTCATGGTAATGGAGCTCTTTATACTAAGGTAATTCGGGCTTTCAGTAATGAAGACATGTGATAATCCGTGATGTAAGCGTCTGGTCTGAGTATCATTAGAGAACAACTTACAGCATATAGAGAGTAGTTTCACTCGCTCAATAAATTCAAAGTATTTTTCTTTAGCTTTTCAATTCCAACTCCATTTCTATTCTAGATTCTTCCAAGATAACGAACCCCATCTTCTCCAGCTTCATGTAAATCCCAACGGGATTCTCTCGACAATTTACAGGGTAACTAAACATCAGTGCCAAAAAGAGCCGGTAGTGGATACTGGTCCCTGCCCCACTATTCTAGCCTCGCGGCAGGAAATTCTCTGATCCAAAAAGTTTAGCCGCCGCATCGCAACATTTCGAGATTTCTCTTGCACCTCGAATCTCGAGATTTCAGGCCGCGGGATTCTTCAACATCTCCAATGCCAACATGGCGGCCGCTGACGAGGCTCCTGTCGCTAGTGGTGCGCCCACGACCGAGCGCAACGATGCAAAGCCTTCAGGCGACAACCAGAATAAGAAACCTGACAACGGCCGTGGAAACAAGGGAAAGAAAGGCGATAGAGGCCGCGGAGAATGGAGGTGGGTTTATACCAGTTTTTGCTGTTAATTTGCAATTGGTGGGTTGGCCGCATTTACCAACGGCGCTGATCAGACTGTAGCCGCACAAAGGTAGACAAGCGGAAGCGCAATGACGAGTATCGCGAGTTCAAGCGCCGCAAGATTAGCGACATTGACAACCCCAAGGCGAATCCCTTCTCTAAGGAAGAGATTGAGGCCGAGAGCCGTCGACCGAAGCGCAAGGTTGCCGTCATGATTGGATATGCTGGCACGGGCTACAAGGGCATGCAGCTCAATGGCGAAGAGGAGACGATTGAGCGTGACCTCTTCCGGGCCTTTATCAAGGCTGGCGCCATCTCAAAGGCCAACGCAGACGACCCGCGAAAGTCGAGTCTGGCCCGTTGCGCTCGCACTGACAAGGGCGTGCATGCCGCAGGCAACGTCATCAGTCTGAAGCTGATTATCGAGGAGGATGACATTGTCGACAAGATCAACGAGGCTCTCCCGGCTCAGATCCGAGTCTGGGGTATCCAGAGAACCAACAACAGCTACAACTGCTACCAATACTGCGACTCGCGGTGGTACGAATATCTCATGCCCAGCTACTGTCTTCTCCCCCCACACCCGCAGAGCTTCTTGGGCAAGAAGCTGGTTGAGATCAACAAGGAGTACGGCGCCGAAGAGGAAACGAACGCACGACTGGCCGATGTCAAGAACTTCTGGGAAGAAGTGGATGAGAAGGAGATTAAGCCAATATTGGCCCGACTAGACCCAGAGACTAGAGCCGCTGTTTTGGAAAGCCTGCACTCCGAACAAGCCTCAGGAGAGGCGGAGACAGATGATGCCAAGAAGGCCGACAACGGAGAGCCTGCTGAGCCTGCTGCTCAGCAAGAGACAGCCAAAGAAGAGGAAGACTATGTCATGGTCGACAAGGATCAGCCGTCTGCAGAAAATGCCGAACCTGCCGCTGCCAGCGAAGATGCCGCTGCCCAAAAGCCGACAGTCGTTCTCGAGACGGTCCAGCCCAAGCGCCGCGAGTTGGGACCCGTGGACTTTGCCCTGCGCGACATCAAGGCGGCGTACATTGGCGCCAAGCGTGCGTATCGCGTGTCGCCTGAACGCATCCAGAGACTGCAGGAGGCCCTCAACAAGTACGAGGGAACCAACAACTTCCACAACTACACCGTCCAGAAGTCGCATGGCGACCCGTCATCGAAGCGACACATCCGGTCGTTTGTTGTGAACCCCAAGCCCATCATCATCGGCGACACCGAGTGGCTCTCGCTCAAGGTCCACGGACAGAGCTTCATGATGCACCAGATCCGCAAGATGGTTGGTCTGGTGACTCTGATGGTGCGGTGCGGAACCTCGCTGGACCGCATCACGGAGAGCTACGGCCCCAAGAAGATGGCCATTCCTAAGATGCCCGGTCTGGGATTGCTTCTGGAGCGGCCCGTGTTTGAAAACTACAACAAGAGAGCAAAGGAGACGCTCGGACGGGAGGACATTGACTTTGACAAGTACAATGAGAAGCTCGAGGCGTTTAAGCAGGAGCAGATTTACTCGCGCATCTTTGGCGTCGAGGAAAAGGAGAATTCGTAAGTCTACTTCTTTTCTTGCTCATATCATGAAAGAAGGCATATCTGACATTATCTGAATAGATTCCACAGCTTCTTCACGCAGATTGATCAGTTCAGATCGAACCACTTCCTGTGGCTGACTGCCGGAGGCATGAACGTGGCGACAATTGACAAGTCGGGTGGAAAGGACGTTGACAAGCAGCTGGGTGACGAGGACGAGGAGGATCCTGAAGGTGGAGAGGGTTAAAAACAATGTAGCTATAGATTTTTAGACTTTGTGTCTATGATTCTCATGTCCATTAAGGGCTCTTTGGCGTTTATCAATGGGATATCCCTTTTTTTCTTTATTCTCGTGTTTCAGAGTTAAATTAGTACTCGATGAAGGTCGGGTGGTATCTGTCTACACCTCTATGAACGTGAAACCCAACTCCTAAATGCATTCCCAACGCCTAGTAACCATAGCACACAAGTTCCCCCTTTCAATAACCAAACGTCATTCATCATCGTCCAGCACCAGTCGAGGCGGCAGCCGCAGCAGCAGCAGCAGCCGCCGCCGCCGCAATGGTGCTCTCCATCTCCTCCCTGACCAGCGGCTGCCACGTCCCGCCATTGCTCTCCGCCAGGCTCTTCATCTTGGAAGCCTCCATCTGGTTAAGCAGCTCCGACACACGGTTGACGTCCTGATCGAGCTGCTCCTCTTTCTCCTTGCGATCGCTGTCCTCGGTGCCGAGCGGGCCAAAGATCCAGAGCTCCTTGATTTTGCGGGAGAGGGTGAGGAATTCCTTGATGGAGGTGTACTGTTTGACAAGGTGAGTTTTGTACGAAACGAAGGAGGGGGAGAGAAGGGGTGAACGTACTAGTCCGTCGAATTCCATTTTGATGGAGATGCCGGTGACGGCCATGGCTTCGGGGTTGGCGTTGTTGCGGTCTTGTTCTGCTTGGACGGTGGCGAGCATCATGAGGGTGCGGTAACGGGTGAGGATGTCGGCGACGAGTCGGTTGTGGTTGTCTGTGAGGGGGGTGTGAGAATGTGAGGGTATAGACATGGATGTATATGTGAAGATTTATACGAGGATGAGAGACGATGAATGTGTCACATCAAAATGGACGGAATTTGAGTAGTAGGGGGAGAGCTGGGTGGGAGAATACAGCCAGCAGGGTATGTTCAAGATAGGCAATGTAAATATAGAAGATGTAGATGATGCTATAAGATCATGGATAAGGATAGGCGAAGCACTGTGAAGCATCGTGAGAGGTCATATGGACGGCTTACCCATCAGATTGGACGAGGCTGGCTGTGAGCGCTCCATGTTGGTCGAGGCTGCTTAGTTTGAGAGCATGTGAGAGAAGGCTGATGATGAGTAATGCGTCGTATCAGAGATCTATGACAGATTCAACGTCGGGTTCCGGTTCCGTGCTAGGCTCGATGCCTGTCGTCTTGTCGAAGTTGCTTGGACTGGAGCTCAAATGGTTTGTCGCGACGAAGCGAGTCTAGCGAAGGCCGAGGCTAGCAGAAGGTGGTGGGGCTGGCGGTCTGGCGGCTAAGCACTGAGTTATAGCGGCTTTGGGGGGGATCCGTCGTTTAGGTTCAGTGCAGGGTCATGGCGGGGATCAATCAAATTCTCAGCACTACTGTAGAGCGCACTCAAGGATCCAGGTCATCAGGTGTTTTGAATGCTACAATAAGCACCTAATATGTAGACTACATGTAAAGGAAAACACATACAATATCCATATTATACCTTGAAGACACTAGGAATCGGACCCTTCATAGAAGCTCAACGCACACACTCTGTTACATCAGTTGCATCCGACACAACCAAGAGCGCTTAACAGCCCAGTCACGCAACTCGTCAATGAACCGAGCCTTACCGCGAGTCCGGTAGCTGCATGTGCCAACATGAACAGTCAAATGTATGGCCCCAAGTTGGCGGATCAATGCCCTAGTTGAAAGCAGTGCCCTGTGCCGCCTCTGCCCTGTGCCTCGTTCATGGATGCGGATCCTTCTGGAGGTTGATCCATCCAGCAAATGTCGCACCCCCTGCAGCAGCTACTGTATGTACTCTCGCCCCCTCTTGCTCTCTTGGTTCCCCTCTTGAATATGGCTGATGCTGCCAAAAAAAGAAGAATATGTGGCAGTGTTGCTGCATCTGCGAGGCCAAGGCTCCAAGCAAATTCGGCTGTTATCTTCTATGGTTGCTCTATTCGATGCTATCAAATACCAACTGTCACTATTTAGCCGCCTACTGAGGAAGTGGAACCATCTAAAGACAATAGTCAACTCTTGAGAATAAGACATTGAACAAAAATAAAAACAGTCGAAGAAAGGGCCACTCTAGAGAAGAAAGTCACAGCTAGGATTCCAACAACAAAAAATCCAAAACACAACTCAAACGACCCGAGGAGAGAAAACTTGAAATCTGACCCTCCAACAGACTGCCCAAAACCACAACCCAGAGCCCCAAAATCCTCCGCATCTCACTCCCTGCAACAACTTTCGCTTGTCCATCATTCAACCTTTCCAACCCCCGGCCACAAGATAGTACAAACATGTGTCGATTCGCCGAAGCCCCACAGGCTCTCCTCACCCCCATTGGCCCGTCCGCAAAGCTGAAAGCCCGAGCCATCGCTTGTGTGGGCTTTTTCTCGCGGCATGGAGGTCGATCCTTCGCCTAGGAATCGAAAAGCCGCCCCAGCCAGGCTTTTGTGAGTGGCTGGCCCGGCTGCTTCTCTGTATGCACGCTGATGTCGTTCCCAGGAGAGGAGAACAGGGAAATTTGTGTTTTTTTTGCCAAGTGACAAATTGTACGGGGGGTGTCGTGCTATGCCGTTGTGTGTACATGTAAGGTTGAATATAGCGTGATGGGATGGGATGGGAGGGGCCTAGGATTTGGGACCATGTATGTCTGGCGTTTCATCTGCGAGAGCTCAGTTTTTTTTTTTCCCCCTTTCTTCTTTTCCTTCTTCTCTTCCTACTCTTTAGCTGATTTTCTCTCTTTTTTGTCGTGTGTCATGTATGCGTGTAGTTGATTGGGTTTGCGTTTGGCGGTTATATCCAGCAAGATCCCCTCCTCGCTACGTTAATACCGGCATTAGCTATAGAACGCGTCTCGGAGCGTTGCATTGCTTCTGCTTTTGCTTCTGCTTCCTTCTTTATTGCTACACCTCTCATCAAAAAAGCTTCATTCTTTCCCAATGGCTCAGATAGACTCAACAGCCACTCAGGCCCCGACCAAACCGGCCCATCCCGTCGTTACCTCGTTCCCACTTAACCCCTTGACGACCACTTTTACTCGTCCCGCGGACTGCGATGGCATATTTGCATCCAGCTTCCTCTCTGGCATTGACTTCTCAACGTCCTGTCTCCCAAAAGGCTTCCACACCGACGAGACATCATACTTTTCGCCCGGTCTAGTGTGCCCCACGGGCTACTACTCTGCCTGCCACGATAACATCGGCGCGAAGAGCATCACGACGGTAACATGTTGTCCGACGTTTGGGACCGACCTCTCGCTTTCATGCGTCACAGCCAGCACCCTGGAGAGTGTCTGGTCAACGCTGTTTTGTACATGGATTGCAGGCGATGTTACTTCCCTCCCTATGACAGTGAGCGACAACGGCATCACGAGCACGGTGACGAGATCTTTCTCAGGACGTGAAGGCCTCAATGCTTTTGGCGTTCGAATGGTCTACCAAAAGACTGACACTCAGACGACAACAATGGCAAAATCAACAAAGTACACACCACCAACATCGTGGACAAGAACTGGGTGGCCGGCATATCCAACGGGCTCTGATTCTGGCGGCTCATCAGGTGGCCTCTCTTCGGGAGCAAAGGCTGCGATAGGAGCTGGAGTTGCCGTGCCGATCGTCGTCGTCGGGTTGGCCCTCGGCTTGTTTTTCTGGTGGTGGAGGAGACGGAAGCAGTACAACAAAGTGCAGATGAACCAACACACAACACCGCCTACAGAGCTTCACAGCCAGTCGACGCCTAGCGAGTTGGCAAGTGGAATGATAAACAAGCCTCTGTACGCCGCCGAGGTGCCTGCGCAAGAACCTCCCGCGACTGAACTGCCGGCGCCATTGCGGTAACGATGGATCTTCTGGAGACACTGTATGATTCGGAGGCGTTTCGAAACGAGGACCTACGAGATAATGGATTGGAGTTTTTTCTTTCTTTCTTTGATGAGAGCTTTGGAAACCTGATAGGAGTGAAAGGAAGGGCGACATTTGTGAGAGGCTGTTTGTTGCATTTTCGATTCGGCATGATGCTTGTGGAGAAGCGAAAACTAATGTTTGGCGTGAGCGCTGTGGCCATACGCAATGATTGTATTTGATCCATAGGACGTGCTTATAGATATCCCTTGATTTATCGTTCAGAGAGCTCTGTTATGGAGAGATTGAAGATGTGATGCGTGCCTAGCACCCATGACTCATGGAGTGATATGATGACATGCTGAGTGTAGCTGTTGATAAATGCTTGGCAATATGATGAATAGAACATAGAGGAAAAGTATTATAAGGCGGTTCCGAACGAATGATGTACACACGTGGATTCTAGCTTGCTATAAAGCATTTCGTCCATCGAGAGCTTAATATAGCATGGAATACGTCATTTGACTCGCATCCTATGGGTTGTTTGTGGAATCCTCCAGAGCATATGCAGTGTTTCCCATTGACAACGATCGCCGCCGCCAAGATCTGTTACGGAGTATACCAACTCGGACAACTTCCGTTTCAATAACTTCCAGTTATCATCGGCTACCAATATTCCTTCAAAGGCACCCAGTCTTGTAGATATTGCAGAAATCGCCTCTTGTTCGGCCCCGATGTGAACCATCCCATGAGCCAACCAAACAGGGGCAAATGTTTCCAGAATAGGTCACCCAACACCACGAGCGGCCTCTAGGGGATCTGCATCTACGTTCAGAGGTGAAAGAAGTTGAGTAAATGAGAAGATATATGCGGAATACATACGGTTGGAAATGTTGGGCGCTGTTTGGGGTGGTTGGGTCTGTAACGGTCCCCGTTAACCTCCTTTTATGCCAAAACTCTTAATTTATTTCCTTTTTGTTTGCAGTCTTGATCAAGTGTCTTTCATTCCTAGTTTTAAGTAATGGGTTCTGCGCATTGATCTCCAAATGGTGTATTTCTGTTGTTTCTATGTGTTTCAAGACGAAGTCAGCTGTATTCAGAATACAAAGGAGGGTGATTTCTCGCGAACGTGCGGTTTCAAAACACAAAGATACGACTTGACTGAACGAAACTTTATGAACACAACAGAATCGTTGTTATTTTGGCTTGGCCTGTTCATCGCTCACGTGTTAATGACAGCTGCACTCCCTCATTAGATACAAATAAAGAGTACTAGATCAAGAGCTATCTCTCAAACAATCCTTCTTCGTCGTCGTCTCCCAACTCTAAATAGCATACCAAGTCACAAGCTTCACAAATATAAGCTCCCCAAACCACAAAATTACTCATCATGAAGTGTTTGATCAGCCTCGTTGTCCTCTATGGTGCCCTCGCAACTGCTTTGCCTAGCAACACCAAAGCCTACAATTTACCAGACATTCAAGATACAGCGGGCCTCGGCTTAGCAGACACACACAAAGAAGGAGGTGACATGCCGAAACGTGGCATTTGCAGTAACGATGCCCTGGATTGCTGCTGCCAGTGTGCTAAAGCTGAAAACTGGCCGTGTATTGGATGTTTTGGTGTGAGTTATTTTGAAGGTTTAGACAATGTGTGGCTTTGACTAACGATGATGGATTATAGGTCAAGTCTTGCCCACACGGCGGAGTGACTTTTGCGAATGAGGCGAAGTATTTGAAGCATGACCCCTGGGGGTCAGGAACCATCAATTTCCCGGCCGTTCAAGATGCAGCGGGCAACGATTTAGCAGTCACCCACAACGAAGGAGGCGGCATGCTTAAACGCGGCTTCTGCACTGACCATAAACCGGATTGCTGCTGCCAGTGTGCTGAGGCTGAAGCTTGGCCGTGTTATGGATGTACTGGTGTAAGTAATTCTAAAGGATTAGACAATGTGTGGCTTCGGCTAACGATGATGATTTATAGGAGAAGCAGTGCATAAACCTAGGCCATGTGGATTTTGATTCAGAGCTGTTAATAGTATATGAGACAAGTTAATAGTACATGTAGGCTTTAACTAAGGGACAAGAGATGATGGCGTTGAGAGGGCTATTGCGGAATAACTTGGATGAGTGGTTGACTTGCAGGATACCTGGGAGAGCATCAGTCTACATGTATCTGTCTTATCTGTCTTCACAATTCTCTTGTCCGAGAGCTATTCTTATATAGACTACTTTTCAATCATTTTCTTTTAGAGATACTACGGTATTGATATATACACACTCGAAACTCCTTTTTCATTCCTTCATTCCGCATCTCGTATTACCGACCACCAGGGTCGTAATGGGTAGTTCGCATTTTACTGGTCATTGTTCACCAAGACGTATCGGTACTTTGCCTTTCCGAGATCCATATCGACAATGGCACGGTTAGCTTCGCTCATCGGCCACTGCTCAACCCACGGCTTGATCCCCTTGTCGGCAGCAAGCTGCAGCATCTCGCGGATCTCGTGAGGTGAACCCATGAAGCTTCCAGTCAACGATCGGCGGCCCGCGCAAATCGTTCCAGCACCAACCTTGAATTGTCCATCATCCGGAAGACCGAGTTGGCAGAAAATACCTTCCCGCTTGAGCAGGCCAATGTACTCGGTCAGGGGCATGTTGGAGCTGGAGATGGAGCAGATGATGAGGTTGAGAGTTCGGGCGTGCTTCTTTGCCCATCCTTCTTCTTCGGCCGTGGCAATGTATTCGTCTGCTCCCAGAGCCAGAGCGTCTGCTCGCTTGTCCGAGCGACGAGACACGGCTACGATTCGATCGGCGCCCATGGCCTTGGCGAATAAGATGCCAAAGTGGCCCAAGCCGCCGACTCCGAGGACGCCAACAGACATGCCCTTAAGTCGCTGGTCGAGAGGACCCTCACCACGGTTTCCAAAGTGCGCAAGCGGTGAGAAGACCGTCACGCCCGCACACATCATGGGCGCGGCATGCTCGCTCGGGAGGTTGTCGGGGATCTTGAAGGCGAACTTGGCCGGGCATCGATGGAACCGAGCATAGCCGCCCATGCTCTTCCCGCCAGCAGCGGTGAGATACTTGGCGCCGTACGTCGTTGTCGACCGCGGGCAGTAAACCTCGTTGCCGGATGCACAAGCCTCGCAGTCGGAGTGGTCCTCGACGGTCTGCGGCGGCTTACGGCACTGGCACGAGTCGTTTTGCGCGCCCACGCCGACCCGATCGCCGACCTTGATGCCGGTCTGGGCGGCGGCCTCCTTGCCGACTCGCACGGCCGTGCCGACAATCTCATGGCCGACGACGACGGGATACGCAGTCGGACCCTGAACAATACACGTTTTAGCCTCAGTTCGTTCCGGGGGTTCGATTATATGAGAGTCTTGCTTACCCAGCCAGATCGGAGCTTATGCAGATCTGTGCCGCAGATACCGCAGTGTGAGATTTTAATGTCGATGTCTGTTTCTTCCCAGGGCTTAACTTCGTACTCCTGCCAGACCATCTTGCCCTCGACAGAGTCCTTGTCTAGAGCAACCCATCCCTCAAACTTGTTCTCGTTGGAAGCCATATTTGCGATGGAATTTCAAATTGCAATTGAGAGAAGATATGTTCTTCTACCTTTACTGACACCTTCTCTCTATTTTCTTTTCAGCTCTGAACAGCTTGCGCGGCTGAGCCCTTATATCCATTTCCAAGAGACCCTCCCCTCATTACATCATTAACTCGAAAGGGCAATTTAGGAAAGGCCAAACGGACAGCTCGGGCGGATAGTTTCCAGATAGTGCCCCGGCTTGTGGCCAATTACCAAGGAACCGCGTTGCCGATTCCGAGCCCTAGACTGCCGGCAAGCGACATCATCGGCGTTAGAATCGATAGTTCTTCGGACCTAGTCTGGCATTTTCTGGGGCCAAAAGAGAGTTTCCTGCCTCTTTGGCGTCGACGAAGCGCCGCCGAGTTACTACTGATAGAATTTGCCTCGGCTTATGTGAACAAGTACAGATTAGGATCTTAATTGGATTGGCCCCTTGCGCCTAATTGAGATGTGGTGTGCTTTTTAACGCCGATCGGAGCATCGTTTTTTTTTTCTCTGAATGAGTAAGCGGGATTAATAACCTGTTTCTGACCTGATGGGAAGAGCATTCTTTGTCATTAAGGCGATACGAGCGGTAAAACAAAACCCAGAGCTCAAATCTCCACTCTATTGTCTTGTTTATTAAACTTGAGGGATTATTGCTATTATTGTACATGTATATAAGAACCGTTGTTTTATTCTACCATAATGCCTGTTTTGAAGACTAAACGCCAACTGCGAAAAAGCTTCAATACCCCTCGTCTTGTCTCATACACCTGCTTAGACGAACCTCCTAGGTCTTCTCTATCAAGCATTTCTATGCATACTTGTGTACGGAACGCCCTCCATTCATCTTTCAAGAACGCAAGATAATCGGATTCAACAATACTAATTCCATCGAAACGTGAGACGACCCATCAAAATACAATGATTACACACACGTATCTTTGCTGAAGGCATCGACTTGGAACAAAAGCATCAGCGATCATGTAAAACGGCAGATATCACGGCAAACCTTACTCTTTTGCTTATTCAACCTCATTTCAAGTGCTAAATTCCCGTATTTCCGCTCTTTGAATCTTCAAAGAACATGCCATTGGCGGAGGAATGTGGAGAGGCATCACGGGAAGTTCCGAGATACGACTTGCAAATTTATTTCTATTTCGATAAAGCCCTTTAGCCCGCGGACATTCCGTGTGAGCTTCTTATATAACTATTGCCATTTTCAGCGGAGATTTCCGTTGCATCGACTACTTTAAAATGATTTGGAATTGAGAGAAGGTAGTGATTTCAAATGCGGCTTCACAGGCTGTAGTTTTCGCTCAGTTAGAATATTCATCTGTGAAATAAGATGCTGATATTTCACAAAGGTTTGATATTTAACTTTTGAGACTTTTCATCCTATATGTGGCCACGATCACTTCGATTTAACCCTCTTATTGCAATTCTACGGTAAACGTCATTGGAAAGAGCCAGAAAAGCAGCCAGGCAAGGAGGAGCCCATCAGAAAGGAGCCCATCAGAAAGGAACACATAAGAGAAGAAGACGTAAGAGAGGAACACATAAGAGAGGAGCCCATCAGAGAGGAGCCCGTCAGAGAGGAGCCAGTCAGAAAGGAGCCAGCCAAAAAGGAGCCCATCGGAAAGGAGCCAGAAAGGAGCCAGTCAGGCTATTTTACTCGCTACAAATTGAATAAAACTGCTGAAGAAAGTCTTTGTTCTTACTCACCATCTCGATTCCAATCCCACGTAAAACATTAAGGACAAGAGCCCGAAAAGTAGTCAGCCAAAAAAGGGAGGCTAGCAGCCATGCTAATAACGAATTGAAGAAGACTTTATAAAAGTCTTTATCCTCTTTAACAATGTGAATTAATAAATACAGTCGAGTGGATATTCAGAGATGATAATACATGCTGGATAACGGCAATTGCGTCTTTTGGTCTACATTATTCTTCACATTGTCTTCACTGCTGAATTTAACAAAACCTCCGCAATTCAGTGCTGCTGACCCTTCCAAGCAAAGGCATTGATGCAGTCGTCATCAGGATGGACGACGACTACCGCTCGAACTCATAAGAATACCAACCAGGCCCGATCTGCACACATCCCATAGATTCGTCGAGACAAATGAACATATACCTTCATTCGATAACGGCCAATTGTGTGACTATTCAACCCTTCTTACTAAGGAATCGTGAAGTGAAATCAGTAAACGACATCATACCGCTTAGTTGGGCCATGCGCTCACGTCTCGTATCCGAGCCATGTACTGTGAGGTGAGCACAAGAGTCATAGTGAGAAACAAGGAAAAGAGGGGAAAGAGAAATAGGTAATTAGTTGCGAGATAACACATGGCGCAGTCATATTTGAGACACGGCAACTAGTATTATTAGAGGGCTGCGTTAGCACATGACCCCAACCAAGTCGGGAACCAAGGCAGTGCCCGAAATTAACCTTAGTAGTTGATGTGCTCATAGTAGGTAATCGATGTGCTAATATTTCATCATCCAGAAAATTGACTACAGCTGCGATTAGTTGTGTTGTACAACAAACACAACAGGTAAACACCTTGTCAAGTCTGACGATGTCGTGGCCATCCTGGTTGACTGTGACAGAAAAAGCTAATTTGTCTGTTGGCAAACAAGGATAGTTAGTACAGCCGTTGTGGCCTATTTTCAACTCAATCTGCCTGGCCGATTCCCTTAGTTGCGTTGCTAGCCTTATGCCAAGTCCCAAAATGAAAGGAAAGTCCATTATTGGTAGGCAACATGGCCTGTTCGTCTTACATGCAGAGATAGCGCACAAGCTCTAAAACTGACACGACGAGAAGCGAGTCTTCTCAAAATAGTTGCTAAGACGCAGCTGCGATACTACGCGAGCATTGCATCTTTTTCTTTTGTCTATCACCACAGAAAGCTGGCTTGTAGTTGTTGGTGGTCAGCGCACATGAGTCGATTGATTCTGTGATGGTGAAATTGAACCCTGGTGAAAGATCGTCAGATCGTCGGATTGCATTCAATACTCTTCTCAACGGAGGTTGCATCACTTGAACTTTGCCACACTTTATCACATTGATAAACTGGGTCTGTACTTGAGTTCACAAGTGCCCTTATCGTAACAGCTGACATGCAACTCCTTGAGTCGACTTCACAACCGCAGGCAATTTTGGCGGCGAGAGCATCCACCCCCTAGTTCTCCGGTTGAGACTGCGCTGACTCATGCATGTCTGAGTCCACCTCCCAGCCATAGCTTATGTATTTTTAGAACAACTTTGTTCTGTAGTGGGACGGCGATTCCTACCAAATGTCCCCCAATTTTGGGCCAGGTCCATCTGCTGCAGCTAAAAAACAGGAAAACCGCGCTTCGCCACGATGCTAACTTGGGATCAGCACTGTCACAGAGTGAAACTCACACTCTAAGAAAACGGGCCGTGGCGAAAGCGGGTGGTTACAGTGGTTGAGTGGGCAAGCCTCGGCACTGGTTCCCTTTTTCCTTTTCCGTAGAAGGATAACCATGATCAGACAACAAAGATGGTGGTGTGCTGATGTGCCAGAACAGCCCAGCCAGCCACTTGCCACCCGAAAAGGATGGACGACATGGTGGCTCAATGAGGCTCTGAGGATCGAGTCTTACGATTCGATGCGGAGCAAATCGCGATCAAATAATAAGCACCAGTCGAATACGGCGGAGCAACAAGATTTTTGGCCCCCTTACTTGATACCATCCCATGCACGCAAATCCTGATGGGACTTGGTGCGTGCATGCGTGCCCTATGCGCACCTGGACTGCTGCAAAGACGCCATTTGATGATCACTTGTGTGTAATTGTAGCTGGTTGCGAAAGGGTTCGCCGCCTGCCGTGTTGCATTTCCGCCGTTTCATTAGGTAACAAGTAGGATGGCGCTCACGAGCGGGACGGGGGTGAGGGCTGAGCCGCGGTTGGTGCTTGCTTAATTGCACTTGGCATTGGCCTTCAAAGCTTGTTCTCGTGAGGAGCTACCCTCAATACGGAGCACGGCTGTCATAAATTTCTTTCTTTTTCCGGGGCCAGGAAATTGACGACTGGGACACGTCTCCCAGGTTGCTGCTCGCTCTGACGCGGCCTCTCCTGGCCCACCAGTCCCTTGTACGGAGAACCAATAGTAGGATTTTAGCACTGTAGGATTAGAATTCATTTGTTTGATCGAGTACACCGTCTTCTTTCTTGTGTGCCGAGAATAGCGGTTAAGCGTAGTAGACGCTGACGCTAAGCACTTAACTTGTCGACGTGCAAGCACGGGAGAGGCCAACAGAGACAAGGAAGCTGGGAGAAGCGGCTGCAAGTGCCGGTCGACACAGGCGAAAAGCCTGATCATGGCACGCCCTAAACAGAAGCTAAGATGGAGGAAAGGGGCCCCGTTCGGGAGGCATTGCGGCTGATGGAACGGCTCCGTTGGTTGGGTCTGACGGTGACCTCGTATTGGCCGTGTCCGGGACGGCTAGAGAAATTGCAACAACGGACTGCCTCAAAACAAAAGAACCTCCACTGCGGCTTGGTACAGTAGGCTCTGCCAAGTGATTGACAGATGTTGGTTGCTGCGGCCGTCTCAGTTGACTGCGCAATCTCAGACTTTGGTGGTGTTGATCGAGGTTGAAAGTGGCCCTGCAGATGCGTTCGTTTGCGTCCCAACAACGGCGTCCAAGGCACCACCGCTTGTTTTGTCGAAACTCATGTCTGTTTCGGGACCCCTGGTCCGTTGTGGGTGGCGCTGCATGGCTTGCATGGCATGGGAGGGGTCGTCGATATGATGAGACTGAGGCTACCCAGTCATGCATTGGCTGCATGTCAGCGACTTCACATGCTTCCCCTGCCGCGTATCTGGCCCCATGAATTGCACGGCGACAGTACCTCTCGGCTCGTGCATACGGAGTACCTGATGGACAAAGATGCACATGTAAGCAACGTCCTTGAAGCCACCTGTTTCAGACGGCGGGTCTGCATGGAACCCACTGCCTTGGCCAGCGAATTACACGGTCAGTAAGCAGCGCTATGGAGACGCCGACTTGCATGCGTTTGCAGAAGAAGAAACAGGGGTGCAGGGGTGGCGCAACAAGGAGCAAGAATGAGGCTCAAAGAGGGAAGAAAGCACGGGAGAGAAGGATGAAGAAGAGAGAGAGAAAGAGAGGTGGAAGAGGTGGAAGAGGTGAAGAAAGAAACATGGGACGATGTTGGTTAGAATAAAGAGCAAGTTGGAAGAAATTGAAGCCTGAGGAAAGAAAAAAAAAAAAAGGCAATGCACTTGTCAACCATGAAGTGGCTTACCTAACTAAAAATAAAACAACCTAATGAGATTGATGAAAAAAGCTCAAAGCCAACCGGCGTCTAAAGTCACTGGGAGGCGTCCATCCGGAGCTTGAATTGACAGCACCAGCAGCGCTAAAGGCCGGACCTCGCTAACTTCAGGGGACCAACGGCGCTGCCTGCGCCCTACGGCCTTGCCAGCGAGTGCCTGAATCCTGAATCGATCCCCGCGCCTCGTGGAGTTCCTGGAGCTGCACCTAGAGCGGAGCTAGAACAAACTGGAGCGCATGGACCCATGCTTGATGTGTTGATATTTTCAGCAGTCACTTTTCAGGATCTCTTTGCCTCCTTTCCTTTTCTTTCATATATCTTGCTTTTCCTTGCCTTGTTTTCCCCTTCCCCTTCCCCCCTCTCGTTTGTTTTCCATTCAATTCTTTAATTACTTGCCTCTTGCCTGAGTGTTGCAGCGGTGTGACTTGCATTGTATTTCTGCTTGCTGCTTCCCTCAGTCACTGCTGGCTTGCTTGTTGCGGGTTTTTCGGCTCCTTTCACTCTTTTCTCACTTTCCGTCTAGACAGCAAGTCCACATCAATTCCACCGATTCAATAGACCAAACTCCAAAAACACCTGAAGCTTAGCATCACTGACATTTGCCTGCCCCCATCGAATAAGAAAAAAAAAAGAAAGAAACAACCTTGAAGTTATCCCAGCGTCATCCAGATCGACCGAAACCATGTCGGACGGCGACGCCTTTGTCCCCACGGAGGTGACTGTCGTGGATCAACAACCAGCCCAGGGCAATGAGAAGCACCGGGCCACCAGCACGGAGATTCCCCTCGAGGAACAGCAGACCAATGTTCCGGGCTCCAGGATGGCGCCGTCAATTCCCCTCAACAGGCGTCACACGCTGAATCTCGAAGACTACTTCGCTGGCCCGCGAAACATGGACAAGCACTCCAAGTGGCCCCTGTTCATGCAGATGCACGGCAGCATCTTGCCCAAGATGATTGTGCCTCTCATCTGGATGTCCGCCTGGAGTGCTTGCGTCACCTGCATCTATGAGGTAGCAAAGAAGAACATCGCCGTCAACTCCATCCTCCTGACGGTTTTGGGTTTCGTCGTCTCCACCGGTCTCAGCTTCCGCGGTTCCACAGCATACGAGCGTTATGCTGAAGGTCGTCGTTTCTTCGCGACCCTGGTTACCTCATCACAGGCTCTTGGACGAATCTTCTGGATCCACGCCAAGGTCCTCCCTAACGTGGACGTCCGCAAGCAGATGCTCTACAAGATCAGCGCCATGAACCTGGTTGTCGCTTATGCTATTTCCCTCAAGCACAGCTTGCGTTTTGAGCCTTACACCGCGTACCAGGATATAGAGCATCTGGTCGGCCATCTCGACACGTTTGCCAAGTCTGCCACCTCCACCATGCCCCTCAATGGCGGCGTTGGAAAGAAGAACTTCTTCAAGTCCATTGGAGACTACCTCGGCCTCTCCTTTGCCGCTAGCAACCCTCGAAAGCAGCTCAAGAAGGCAGAGAAGCCCCTTGGAAACCTGCCCCTCGAAATCCTCAACCACCTTGCTGTCACCATTGACGACCTGGTTAGCAGAGGCCAGCTCCCTGTCCCCATGCAGCAGACCTTGGCTTACAACAACCTTGCCGCCCTCAACGACGCCTACACCGGCTGCCAGCGTGTCTTGAACACACCTCTCCCCATCGCTTACGGCATTCTGTTCCAGCAGATCACATGGCTCTACGTCGTCTTACTCCCCTTCCAGATGGTCGCTGTGCTCCACTGGATCACCATTCCCGCCACCACCGTCGCGTCTTACATCATTCTCGGCCTCCTCTTCATTGGCCAGGAGATTGAGAATCCCTTTGGCCACGACGTCAACGATCTTCCCCTCGACAGCTACTGCGAGCAGATTGCTCTTGACATGGACATCATCGCCTCGCACTCCAACTACAAGCCCGAGGACTTCTTCTTTAGCTCCGAGAACGTTCCCTTGTGGCCCGTCAGCGGTGCCGCCGCTGACACCTGGCTTCAGCGAAGCGAGTCTAAGCTGGCAGAGACCATCAGGACCAAGCCCAACAAGACGTTTGAGTGGCGACGCTGGAGGGGCGATAAGCTTGGTGACGAGGAGTCTGCCAAGAACGATTAAGCAGAGCACATGTACGACGATGTTGAGAGATGTGGTGAAAACGACATATGAAGATGAAGATGCAGACGTGGACAGGAATAGGGGTGGCTCGAATTTTTTCTTATCTTGAAAAAAGATGTTGATACTCGCTCTGTCGCGCTACAACACTCACCTCACAAGACACAACGGCAAAAGAACAAAAAAAAAGAGACTGGCTTTGGGATTACTATTTTTTTCTATTTTTCTATTTCATTTTGATGTCCAGGCATTTGCATTACAGGTCTTTTAAAAGGAAAATATCACGGTAGCACGGCGTCTTACGCAATTTTTTACGTTCAGGCCCGACGGAACGGTGGTATTCAGGGAGGGGAGAACAGGATTTTCTACACTCTCCCCACCGCTACGGAGGTCATAATCGGTTTTATCATATACACAGAGATATACATATACAATTCTTCTTCTTGTCAATTATTTATAATCATGTGCTACTGAGTTGTTTATGCCTGTGATGTCGTGAGAGGAATATGTCAATTTGCTTGTTTGTTTGCTTTCTTGGTTTTTTTTTTTGCCTGATGTTTTACGTCATTGAGAACTAATTTGCATTGTAATTGAGATATGAATACACTCTGGATTTACTACGACTATAAGCTGGACTCTGGATTCACTGCTACAATAAATTTGACTTTGGATTCACTACGATGGTGAGCAGGTGCTTTTAGTCTCATTCATTGATTTCAAAATTCGGTTTCTATATACAAGTGTAATGAAATGGACGAAAAAAAAGGAGAAAGACTCTTGAATCTTTCTATGCAAATGCAATGTGCGTCTTTTAGAGCACTGATGCTCCATCAGCGTATATGTTCTTCCCTCCACTTTTACTCTCAAGCCATTTTTAATATATAAGAAAAACATGTTTTCCATCGTTTTTATTTAGTCTTCGTCTTCCTCCCGCTCCCGGGCAAGCTTGTGTGACTGCTTGTCCTCTGGAAGCCATTTAACAAAGATCATGAGCGACATGGCAATAGGAATAAGTATGGCCCACACAAGATGTCCCCAGAGGATCTGGTTGTGCACGCCAATGGCGAATAGCACCGTCGACACTCCTGGTACAAAGGATCGGACGGCACTAGCGGCGGTCATGGCCAGGGCGTTGAGGGTGCCCATGACGTGAGGATTGGGCGATACGTCGTTGAGGGCGAGCTGGACTGCCGTAAAGGCCATGGACACGCCGGGTCCGACGACAGCGACGATGGGGGCGACGACCCAGAATGCTGCCATGGCGGACTCGGTGTCCGCCCTGAGGAGGAAGTTCATGACGACGTAGCCGGCGAAGAAGAAGGGGTATGCCACCACGCAGGCGGCCATGGAGCCCTTTGTGCCGATGCGGCGCTGCAGGAAGGGGAACGCGATGACGAGCCAGGCGGCCTGGGCGGCGCCCTGGGTGGCCATCCAGAGGGAGATGTGGAAGGCGGAGAATCCGACGCCGCCGAGCTTGACGGGCGTGTAGAGCAGCACGGGGAGGATGGCGGTGAAGGCAAAGGCGAGGAACATGACGTGGGTGTAGACCCAGATGACGACGGCGACGCCAGGGGCCTTGAGGAGCTCCCTGGTGGATAATCGATGTGGTCGAATTACTGGGCCTGCAGTCGACGAGGTAGTTTCAGTAGGTTCAGGCTCCAGAGTTTCTTCGAGATAGAATATACATAGAACGATGCTGACGATGTTGATCACGGTAAGTGCCACGCCGGCTAGGAGATAAGGATAGTCTTCAAGAAGCTGAATTCCCTTAAAGACGCTCGGGAACTGCTCTACCGGGTCTGCCAGCACACCGCCAATGATCGGTCCCAGGAAGATGCCCATGTTGTTGGCAAACGCAAACCAGCTAAACGCCACGGCCTGCGTCTCTGAGGTCGTGTGGTCTGAAAGCATCGTTCGAATCACCAAGCCTGAACCGCTAAAGACACCGGCGATGCATCGGAACAGGATCATCTGCCAGATCGTCGTCGAAACAGTAAAAAAGAAGGTAGCCACCGTCATTCCAGCCAATGTCCACAATAGGACGGGTTTCCTGCCAATGGTGTCTGCTAGATGACCCCAAAAGTAGAGCACAACCATCTGGGTGGCCGAGAAGAGCGACTCAATCAGGCCGCTGTAGAAGCCCACATCTGACTTGGGGAGGTTGCCGTTTTTAGCGACCATCTCCGCGATGAAGGGGAAGATGGCGAAGAAGGCGATTGGCTCCATGACCTTTGCAAAGCAGAGCAGGAAGACCTGCATCTTGGGCAAGGGCTTGCTTGGCTTGTGGTGGGCGCCATCCTCGGCTTCGTCTGTGGATTTGCCGGTGATGAGAGGAGTGTTTTCTGAGGGCATGGGCTCGGGGTCCATGAGGGTGAGATCTGAGGATGACGATGATATCGGCTCGGGCGGAGGAGGCGCCATTGTGGCGGTTGTGTGAGGTCTCTGTGGAAATAAAAAGTTGGAGTTGAAGACACGAATGGATATAGGAGACCAAAGAGGTCGAGTGAGATCAGCCGCGTCGACAAAGCAGTGCAAGAGATTTGATCTGCTTGGTCAACTGCTGGCCATCAAGAGCTGCCAGTTTCCAAAAACAAAATGCAAACAAAATGTAAAAGAAAGAAAAAGAGGAATGGAAACGAAATGGGAGGCAAATAAGCAAATCCTCCCGAAAATATGGACGAGTCACAAGAAGAAATAGGAAGGCGAGTCAGTTGAGATAAGCATCGGACTTATCATATAACCTTTTTTTTTTTTTTTTTCGCCGTCTAATGACGCAAGGTGTATTATCGATCTATGGCTAAGGTCTGGTAAGATTCCGTCTCGTCCACCACTGTCCCGACACCGCTGGATCGCTATTAGTCAACGCTAGAGGCGCTTGCTACCCCAAAAGACCCCCGGAAATCCCCCACTAACCGCGATATTACAGCGCACTGCAGCGGGCCAGCGGGGCAAATGGTGCGGCGAATCACCCCCGAAGTGCCCCCTTTCGGCGGTTGTGCAGGCGCTAGGACATGATTGTGTGCTTGTGCTGGTCGGTAGCGAAGCCGACAGGGCGCTGCCTCAGCCGCTCACCTACGCCCCGTGATGCGCTGCATCTTTGCTGAGGCACATCGAGGGTCATGAGAACAGCAATTTCGACTCCGATACCAGGACCGCTTATCTGCGTGATGGTGATTGTTATTCCCGCACCAGGGACGGTGTAGCCCGTATCGAACAGAGCTCCATAATAGCGCTGCTATTTCTTCCGTATTATGCGGGGGGACGAGACACGATGCCCCTCAACTGCTCCCCCTACCGTCACATTTCCTGGCCAATATGACAGGCAGCGTTGCGTCCCGGCTTCCGCTTTTCGGGAGGATCGATTGTGTGTGTGCCTATGTTATGCAAGGGAGCGAGTGTGCTTGCAACAAGCGGTATGGCAAGAGGTGGTATGGTAGGACGGGTTGGGGTAAATTGGCGAGCCCTGTCAAGCCTGTTAATTTGAGACTTGACAGCTTCGCCTAGTTGATGCTGTGCCCAGCTGTGTCATGAGATCGGCAAAGTTCATGCTCTGGTCAACTTCCAGCCGCGTAGCCGGCCGATGGCGGACTGTTTTGTTTTGAAGCCATCACGTTGACACAAATCGACAGCCATCGCTGCCTACAGGTATCTTGGCCCCTCGGGCAAGCTGCTGCCGGCAATGTTGCACTGACGAAAGAGGCGCACCTCGTCCTCCGCAAACGCCCCGACAACTGAGTGAATCAGGCTTCTGTTGTGGAAGATGACGAAATCGCCCTCCTCCCAGTCGTGCGCATACACATAGCCAGGCGCGATACCGGGCCGCTGTAGTCGGTGAACAATCTCCCGCACCTCCTTCAGGTCGTCGATAACCTCGCCGTTGCCCAGATGTAGCTTCCGAACCGCGGACGGGTGAATCTGCAGCGCCAGCCGGTCGTCCTGAGGGTTGCGCCAGCACATGGGCAGGATTTGGATTTTGTCTTGCTCAATCTCTGGCAGGCTGTCAAGCGGCACCTCTTTGCCCTCCGAGATAAGGCCCAGACCATCTGAGCGAGACTTGGCACTGCTCATCCACACATAGGGATGCGGGGCGTATTCGACCTTTGTGGTCATGGCGAACTGTTGGTCCTGCGGCGATAAGAGGTCATACATGGTGTAGCTAGAGACGAACGCCGTCGTCCCCAGAGGGACGGTCAGCTCCTCGCCCGTGTCTTCATATCGGATCGTCTGCTTGCGGCCGCCGGGGACCTGGGCCGCGAAGAGGGTTGTGGCCACCGGAGGGGCAAGCCCATACAGCGCGGCATCAATGTGCCATCTGTAGAACCGGGTAAAGTCCAAGTCTTCCTCGTCTGGTATAACGGTGGCGTGGAAGGTCTTGTGGTGGGGGTGCCGCAGCTGAATATTCTTCAGCCCCTCGTACTCCTCCACGAAGCCGTTTCCAATCACTTGGACCTGTGGCTGGTGCGGGATTGTCTTGAGGTCTGGATGCAAGATGGATCGTTTGGCGTCGAGCGTCTTTCCGTGGCCGTAGGAAGCTGTCGCCTTGGGGTCGAATCGTTGGGTGATTTCGTATTGCGCCTTGGAAGAGGCGTCATGCTGTGCCTTGAAAACAAGGACTTGGTATCTGTACAGAGCTTCCTTGATGATGTCGAAGTCGGCGTCTGATGTTTGAAACTATTAGCTGTCGTGCCAATGTGAAACAGGAGGGGAGGGGGCGCACAACAGCCAAGGCTCCTTACCTGATATCTTGTTAACGTTGACGCCCTGCACAACCGCTCCGAACCGAACCCCCGATCCGGGCGGATGCGCAATTGGCTGTATCGAAGCTCTGGACGCAACTGTGGCGTATGATGCCAACTGACGGCCGGCTGTGCCAATCTTTCGCAGAGACATTGTGTTGCTAATTCTCGCTATCGTGTCTCACCAAAGATGCAAGTCTTAAGATGACGGAATAGTATGGGTGGGGGGGGGTATCGGATTCTTCTTATGCTTGGTCGTTGGTTAGCTGAGAGACGGCCGAAGCTCGATTGTCAGCGAGGTGGGTCGCGTAAATAAGCTCTTGCCGAGAGCTTCCTATCTCTGTCACTTTCGTATAGGTACGAGTAGATGCTCATACTCCCGTATTATCCATGCTTAATTGACATCTCTCTTTAATAGGCGCATTCCATTCCAAAGAGTACTGGCGGATGTCGCCGGACTGCGCGCCCTTTGCGTCGAGCGAATTGCAATAGATTCGTCGGAGGGATCCACCAACTGATAAGACATGGACGAACCTTCATTGATAGCGCCAATGAAGGATCTCCGAGAGATGATATTCGTGGCCTGCGCAAAGTACTCGGTCTTCCTGCTTACAACATAGGAAATAGAGTTATTAGCACACGTTGAATGTAATAAGCTGATATCGGCTGATAGCCTTCTGTAAAGTGCGATGTCGGACTGAAGTCGTCTCTTCGCACATGTTGCCGTTCGGTTGGATTTCGGATCACCGAAGGCGATTCTCCGTATGCACCGTCTGATTCAATGACCTTTGGACATCTTATTACTGACAACCGTCAACACACACATTCGCAAGCAGCGTCTCGTTGTCTTTGTCATTAACACGCACGGGGAGGAGGTCCTTTATAATGGACATTTGAGAAAACAATGGATACTGGTCATCAAAAGACCAGCTCCTGCGCAAAGCTACATTAGCCTTACGCCTTCCTTCCGTCATGGCTATTTATGTTGCTGCATCGTCCCTTGCCTGCAGCTCGAGGCGGCCAATCCCAGCCCTCGCCATGGTGAAGAGTGTGGGCGGTCAGAATCTGACATTGAACATCAGCGGCCCCGCCAAACCATCTTGTAATACTGTAGTTGCTTGCATCCCAGGGTTGACTAATCCCAGATACTTTGCTTGTCCGCTGAGCTTCAAACCTTAAAAAGAATATTCAGTCTCATTTAGTTGACTAATATAATCCCAGGGATCCTCAATTAAGTTAGAAAGCCATGACTCTTGGGCTAAGCTCATAACAAGATCATCCGGAACAATATTATCTGCAGTCAAACCAGGAAGCTCTTCTGCGATATCCTCTTCTACATTTAGATGGGTCATGTTCGTAGCCATCTCTGTCCACATTAGCATCCTGATTGTCTTAAAAAAATGAGGCCCTTTGTTGAACAATCCCCAATTTGGTCCCTCATTACCCACTATCCCAATCATCTCCAATGCACGTTCAGCCTTCTCGGAATATTGATCAAGAATTTGAATCACATCAGCACGTTTCCTGGTTTCGAATAGATCCCAGCCGGGTTCTTTGAGCGTGTTAAGCTTGAAGAGAACCACGAGGCAGTGGGTAAGCTGAGTAACGTAATCAACACTAATACCAACCCAATCGAGAAGCGGTAGATCGTCAAACACAGCTAACAAGTGCTCAATTACGGCCAGAGCCGATTCGAGGTCTTGAACTCTTCGAAGTTGAATTCCATTATGTTGATTATTACTTTCCTTATGCCTCAGAAAGAATTCTTTTATTTTCAGTTCGGTGCTGAGCAGATAAAATTTCGTAACCCCTAAACAGTTTCAGTATACACTTATGCAAGTATGATCTAATGAGGCTGAAATAGCTCCATACTCTCTGATTGAAACTCGTCAGGTAAACTTTGCCTGATATCGTCAAGCTGTCTAAGCAGTGATGTATATAGAAGCCTAGATGGCGGGCTGAAGCCTCCAATTTCTATATTCTCGTTTTTAGGACAAGTAATCCCATTTGTAATCAATTGGCATCGTATTTGAGTCGTTAAGAGGATATCAAGGCTCGTCTCAGTACCTTGACTCAAAACTCGAGCACAATCCTCTAAGTATAGTGTCCAATCGAGCGGATATGTTTTTCTGTACGCTGCCCACGTACTATTTCTCATTAGCTAGATGACTTTCCATTTCAATCTCTCTTTGTGCCACTGAAACTCACGCAGAGGTAAGATAGTACAATGCAGCAAATGTGCGACGTTCCTCTATGGTTCGAACGGGCCTTACATATGTCTGGCGGGTTAATAGACGGCTAGGTTTGTCACGTGGTGATATCCCAGGGGTTGTATCTTTGTGTAAATCAAGTTCAAACGCCATGGACACGGCCATCTGGGTAAGCATGGTCATGAAGGGTTTGTCTTTCTTAAAGTAATGGGACCTGAGTCAATTAGTCTCTGGTACGTATTTAAAAGGTTTCAGTGTAATAAACAAATGCATACCAAGAGGCAAAGCAAATTATACCGAGAAGGAGATCTACATTTGCGTGATGTTCACATAAGACTCGTTGAGAGATAATTTTCCAAATATGATCTGCGAGATCGAACTGCTTTGAGACGACCTTCGTGGTTAAGGCGATTATGACAAGCCAAACGAAAGGCTTCTCCCTATATAAATCTGAAGCAGATGTTGTGGTTGGAATATGAATAAATGGAAATGCGGGGATAAAAGCACGACGAAATGTTGCCAGTTGCTCCTCGGCATTCAAAGCCGTGATGCCATGAATAGGCACATCGCCAGCAATTAGTAATTGAGGGCTAGTAGCGCCCGACGGTGAATCATCTGCGCTCTCGGCTGGCCGGAGCAGGTGGACAGCGCTTTCAGTCGTGTCAATAACGACTTCTGGACCACGTGCAATCGATGGAGTGATAGGATTACGCAGCGAGTTTATGTTCGATAGAGTGGTGTTATTACTTGGTTCACCTTCGAGGGTTTGTTCGACAAGCTGTTTGGTGGATGCCTGGGAGCGCAAAATGGATAAAACATTGTCCAGCTTCTCTTCTAGTAGATTCCTGGGTGGTGGCGGCTGCACTGATCGAGAGGAAGCCTTTTGAGTCCTGCGTTTGCGTATAGACGACGTCTGTTCGCAAGCTTTACCAAGACGATGGCATCTGGATACATGTACTCATGAATTAGCGCCAAGGGCTTCCAAATATGACTTGGGGTGAAGTGGATCGGAAATGCTAATACGCCCTCACCTCTCACATCCCGAACCATCAGACCGATAGAAACATTTGCATTTGGCTCGGGAGCACGCCACGCATGCCCTTCCGTATGGTGCTGGAGCCAGCGACCCCGCCAAAGTTGGTTCGTGGGAGGTATCGGACTCCATCACTTCATCCTGGCCGAAACCAATTCCGTTGCATTTGGATCAGTCAGAGCAGGATGCTCGATTCCACACTAGCAAAGCACAAAGCAATAGGAAACGAATCTGACGAGTGAGCCGCGAGGGGAGGGGGGGTTCGATGACTTAAAACCCGCGGATTTGGTTAAACCCCGTGCCACTTCCAACCCCGCGGGATTCAGCGTGCTTGGGATTGTGTGTACACAGATTGAAAACACAGAATGAATACTGTGAGAAATTTCGAAAGTTACTTTATGACTACAGTTATGGCAGAGTAGAGCGGCATTAACACAGTAATCGAATTTCCGTATATATATGCTAAGTTATCCCTTTCTTTTGCTCAGAACTCCCTTACAGCTTAAAAACAATAACTTGAACTTCAACCCATAATTTGCCTACGATTCGAAACTTGCAGTTGACGTGCCCTAAACTTTCAATCTTTTTTCCTACAAACAAGAATGCCATTCACCAAGCCTCACAGTCTCCCTTCCGATGGCTATGATTCACAGACAGCCTGGCGTGATATTCAGAAATTCCTACCCGATCGTCTTCACTTCACGCCTGAACATTGTCCAACAGAAGAATGGTGGGAGCATAAGGGATACAAACTACACTTGGATCGATGGCGTAATTCAGAAGCCAAGATTCGATTGATACTACATCATGGTGTTGGAACCAATGGCCGCCAAATGTCCATGATTCTTGGAGTTCCTTTGCACAAGGCCGGCTTCGAGCTTGTCGCTCTCGACATGCCTGGCTACGGCTGCACAGAAGTGTCCGATGGCCAGGTTTGGTCATATGATGATTGGGTTCAATTATCAAGCGATTTCGTCGACCACGAAATGAAGGCGGATCCGCGGCCTATTGCTCTCTACGGTCTGAGTGCTGGTGGAATGCTGACCTATCATTCTGCCGCTCTCAATCGGAAGGTCAAGGGCATTATTGGCATGACTTTCCTTGACCAGCGCATTCAGCAAGTCGCCGACGCAACCGCGAGAAACATTCTTATGAGCCGAGTGGGACTGCCCTTCACTCGCGCTGCTAACGCAACACCTTTCGCTCGATTTAAAATACCCATGTCGCTTGCAAGCAAAATGTCGACGCTGGTAAACAACAACGATGCCTTACGGATTTTCTTAAATGACAGCACTTCAGCAGGCTCATCTGCCTCGATGCATTTCTTAGCAACATACTCTCAATACAAACCGGCGATAGAACCAGAAGCCTTCGATGTGTGCCCGGTCCTGTTAACCCAGCCTGCACAGGACAGATGGACGCCCTTGGAATTGAGCGAACTATTCCTGCCTCGAATTACCAAGGTACCCGTAAAAACAGTGCAGCTTGAAAATGCGGGCCACTATCCCCTTGAGGAACCTGGACTGCAACAAATGGCGGACGCTATTATTGAGTTTTTGAACGAGATAAGCCTCTAAAGCAGACATAGATTATATATATCTTTTAGTATTATATTTTATAAAGATAATTTCTTCTTTTTTTTTTTTTTTTTTATATATTTTAAAGCCCAGATTAGTGGGATTCATGCAGGGTAGTTGAATTTTGCTCGTTACTTTTGACGTGGGATTGTAGCGCTGACTCGAGCCGTCTATTCGGATACTGTCATTTTCCGTCGCAACCTAGTTCTGCATTTGCTGCAGACGCTGTTTTCTTATTCTTCGTGCCAGGATTCCAAGAATAGGTGCTTTTATGCAGCTCATCAGGAGGAGCCAATTATACTTGTTCACTGATTCTTGATTACTTCGACCCCGTCAGACTTCATTTGTCACTATACGAGAACGTGAAATCATCACGCCCTTCTTTGGCTGTTTACAACTACAGGTTCCACACCGCCATCAACTCGGGTTTCCCATTTTCCGAGCAGACTATATCCGTTGCATGTGCTTAGTACGAGTAACTAGTTGTTTGCGAAATGGCCTGGCAACAACACATTAGCGGTAGATCTGGGCGCATGGGACGGAACACATGGATCCGGCCAGACATTGAGAGCAGCCCGGGTAGTGGAGCATTGAAGATCCTGCAACATCACTTGTTGGTGGTTGTTGGGCTCTAACACTTGCTCAAAAAAGAGATGCTCGGTGAGCAACACAATCATGAGTAATGAAGATATCAATATAACGTATGGATGCCCGATATTACTTCGGTTGGACAGCATACATGGATCGAATCCTTCCGGATATGCAGCCACAGATACTCGTAAGATACCCAGTTGACACGGCATAACAGCAGCCAACTGCCGATGGCATAAATTCCTTGACTCGTGATGAAGGGTGGATGATGGATGGAACTATTTTATATAATACAGACTCATATATTTCTTATTAGGGATTACACCATGTGAGTGACTTCTCCCACAGAACATAGTGACCTTGGTGCCACTTGCAAGCATACGTAGAATATAATGCCTCGTTTCCCCAAGATAGCGGCAGGGGACTTCGATCGACGCCTGGAGCTGGGCTAGAACGATGGCTATCTTTCACCCTACTGTAAGGGTTAAAAACTCCGGGTCTGGTCCCTCTGCTAGCAGATGGCACGATGTGATGACAGGTGTGGTTTGTGGTTAGCTTGTCCGCTGTAGAATCGAATGCCGCTAGGATGCCGCCGCCTGTGAAGAATCGATGCCACCACAGCGCAAATCTGAGTGCACGAGTGTCATTAGACTGACTGGGGATGGATCAATGACTAAAGATTCAATGCAAAGATGCAAGGCGCATGCACCTAAAGAGTAGCCGGTACAGGCCAAGAAGGCTCAACTTGCCTATGACGCTCAGCCACCAACCTGTTATCTGTTGGAAAGTAAGCGGTGGCTTCAAGCAGGTCGTTTGACGGCTTGCATGATGTGTGATTGAGGTCTGGTGTCAAACCTAGTGGCCGCGATGCGCTACGACGTTAACCTTCCCTTGGAGCGGTGAATGGACGTCCATTACACCAGCTGTGTTGCTTCCATGGACCTGTATTTACCTGTTGATTCACATCAGATGTGATGAGAGGTTTCAAGATGATGGAAAAGCAGTTCCTTGTATGTATCTTGCCAACTAGATGAGACACACGACATCACTCATGATACATACATTCGATGTTACATGTCCACTACTTATCGATAGCAATCATCGCCTGAACCCCAATTGTACGAGCACTCGTAGTGTGATGCAGGGGGAAGGTATGGAATGGAACTTTTCGACTTCCAGAAAAAAAAAACATGAACCACAATCAAGTGAAAACTCCTGTCCCCACGCATTGGGCGTGTCAAGATTGTCTCTCCATTCAACCCATGACTCAAGTCACCAGCCACCATCACCGCAGCGTCAAAGCCAAGCCCCAAACATCACATCAGTGCCAGCTTCGTCTGTGTCTGTGTCGTGTGCTGTGCTGGGATCAACATTGGACGGCAGCCCGATGCCATGACGACTCGCCCAAAGTCCCGACCGAAACACGCAAGGGTTCCACCACCAACTCGGCCGGTCCTCCCTGTGCCGTCAGATGCAACCAGGTTTATATTAGCCAGGGCCAGCGGCATCAATCCGAGCCTTTCTTGAGCAGCGCGACACACTAGCGGGGGCTCCGCCGCAGCCCTGGGATTGGATCGGGTGCAAAGTCAGCCGTTTGAAAGGGGACCGATATTAGTTGCTGGGTAGCGATGCTCTAGATTCGTCTTCTTGAGAAACCAACTCAACTCTGTTTATTCTCGAGGGAATCGCCCCCTCCACCATGCCATTTTCCCACGGCCTCTCTTGTGGGATACGGAGAGAAGGATGACATACTAGCAGCCTCAGCAGTCACTCCGAGCTACAGCGTGCCAGCAAATGGGCTCGTCGCAACAGCAGCGCAGCAGTGGCGCGACTGCGGCTCAAAATGAGATCGCGCCAATGGCTTCCATAGGTGAGTAGGTCTGTCTATTACAGTTCAATTCATGACCCTCTCTCCCTCTCTCTTTCTCTTTCCAAGATGACAGTTTTCAAATATGCAATGACTTGCTGGAATTATGGTCACTGACGGAAAACCCCGCCACAGCCTGCCTGGTCTGCAGATCAAGAAAGGTACGCAGAGCCCACTGAGGCCTTGGCTATTATTAGCAGGGAGGAGCAATCTCGGAGACTTCGAGTTGCTTTGGGCCTCATGTTTTGCCATTCAGCGCATTTCTCACCAGGGTTTTCCGGATTAGGTCAAATGCGACAAAACCATGCCAGAGTGTCGGAATTGTCTTCGCCTGGGAGTCGGATGTCCTGGGTTTAGCCCGCAGAGTGAGTTCATCTCCCGCAAAGAGATGCAAAAGTCGGCAGATGACATCTTCAAGGCTGCTGGCGTTGAAAAGAGAAGGGTGGGGTCCTGCGAAGAATGCCGGTCATCCAAGCATCGCTGCACCAAGACTCGGCCGTCGTGTCGCCGATGCATCCTGCGCCATCTGCCTTGTGTCTATCCTTCAAAGCCGGATAAGCAGCAAGAGCGCGAATCCTCTACTCAACCCGCCAGCTCCGTCGCAAGCTCTACGGCTGCTGCTGCGGGGCTCACCTCAACTGTATCAGTTCAACCCTTAGAACCTGGCCAATGGGCAAATCCCGCACTTTTACACGCCTTTGGTGTGAATATTGAGAGGTAAATGAGGATATCCGATGAGAGCTCTTTGTCAGAGCTCAACTGGTCGTCGCCACAACCTCATCAACTCATCAACTAATGTCCTTTCAAGTTTGTGCACAGATACTCTACCAAAGGATCATGGTCTGCGACTTCGCCTAATTAATGCCTTCTTCGATCGATCTCACCACCTTCGTTGTCTGACTTTTGTTCATCAACCTTCCTTCATGCAGTCGCTCGAGTCGGCTAGTGTAGCTCAGGATTATGGAGAGCCACTGCTCTATGCTATGTGCGCCCTTGGCGCCAGGTAAGCAATTATCTTTCGTGCTGCATATGAGAGGCAACCTAATCAACTATCCGGCCCCAGACACATCTACTTTGATGCGACGTTCACCCTAGATAGCCCCGATCGCGACTTGCTCCCAAGCGTAATCCCTGGGCAAGCATGGGCTGAGAGGGCCAGAAAGGAGATATTAGGGGAGATGCATGCTCCCACAGTCCAAAATCTCATGGTAAGGCTTACTCGAGCATTTATTAGTCGCCTATTCCGCTAAAACTAACTTGTCTGATAGACAGTAGCCCTTCTCTGCGAATATGGGCTTCGTGAGGACCAGCATGCTTTGGTCTTCATTTTGCTGGCTTTTCTGCATCGCGCCATACGGTTACTGAGCTTGGATTCGCCACGTCCCCTTCCCAACCATCCCACAACAGCTCAGATGATGCAACGAGAAATAGAAAACCGCATCGTCTGGGCCAGCTTCGTCATTGATAGCCTTGCTGCTAATGGCGTTGAAAAAAACATGTGTTGGAAAGATCACATACCAAGCATTCCCCTGCCTTGTTCCGACGATTGTTTTAATACATCTCAGCTTTCCGCACCGAGGCACTATCTTTTGCAGATTGAAGACTCGGGAATGCAGACCGCCATTTCGGAGCTAGACTTGTCGGCACTATTGGTTGTGGTTGTGCGATTGAGAACAAAAGTAATGCAGTAAGTTGTTATTTCGCTTCTCACAAGCTTTTCCGCTTCTGTTCCGTCCATCGCTAACGACTCACCCCCCTCATTTAGACTCATTCGCGTTGCCGACCCTGGCATGCGCATCTGGGAGCCGTCGTCGCAATTCGTCACAATCATTGATCAACTCATCGCTCTGTACAATAATATGCCAGAACGATATTATTTAACGGATGATAATCTATACGTGCTCAAAGATAAAGGAATGCTTGGGGGTGTCTTTGCTCTACATCTCTTTATCCACGCCGTCATCTTCGATCTCACCCGCATTTCACTAGCCGGCTTCAGCTTCCCGCTGGCACCAGCCTTCAAGAACTCACCAGTTGAATTCCGCGCACACTGCCAAAGTTTATGCCGCTTCCATGCTAGCCAAGTTTCCGATATCATCCGCACTGGATTGAGCTTCAATCGGGGTGCTTTCGACGACCTCTTTTGTCCCGATGCGACCATTGAATCGACCAAAGTACAGATCATCTTCGCTGCCACTGTGGACCAATCCCCCCAGACCTTGCAGGTCACTAGAGATAATATCATTAGCAACTTGAACTTTCTTTTGACCATCCATAATCGTGGAAAAGAGGCACCGACACAGTTTGTGAGCTTTGATCGGCCAATTGATGTATTCGCTATACGAGTTGCTAACAGCAAACCAGATTCGTGGCATTATTCCACTATGCCATCTCTTTGGCTTTCGAGACATTGCAGAGCGATATCAGGAAACACTTGGGTTCGTTATTAACCTCTGATATTTTCCAGTACGTGCTGTTGACTGATATCCACCTTAGCATACCGATCGATCCTGCTGAAGTCACAGGATCAGCCGATGATCACCACCTTGTAGCATTAGCCTCCTTCCGACGAGGGAGAGTGCAGCTTCAAGAATCTCAAGCGACGGGAAGTGCCAAGACGATGTCTTCAGGAAACGACAACAAATCACCGTTAATCCACGCAAGTCAAAGCGTCATCTATGAAGAGGCTGTGGACAGGGGCAGCGGCGGTGATTTTACAAGTTCGCTGCCAATCCTAAGGCCAACGTACCCCCCGATCGAGGTAGCACCTGAACTTTTGAGCCAAAGCTTGGCTCAAAGAAATCCCCTTCAAATTATGCCATCTGCAGGCGTCATGGTGCAAAATGGAGCCATTTTGCAGCCTTCAGTCGACGACTATGTTAAAACAGCAGATGAAATGTCAACATATCTGACATGGGGAATGACTGAAATCCCCCATTGGATGAACCTGCCTGATCCAATGCCCCCGGGGTGAGGAACGGGTGTCTGCTAATCTTAATAACTTCAACAAAATGACTCATGTACTTCAGGGACTGTCACACTTTTATTCCAACCGGTTGTGGATAAAGGGCAGAAGAGGAGAAGTTACATTTCAGCGGTCTACCATTGCGAAACAAAGAATAGTCGGAATCTGAGGCTGCTATGTGTGACAACGACCAGGATCTCTCGAGCAAAGCACCTCAAGGGTACACCCCAATCACAGTAAAGCACCACAGGTCTGTGCTTATGGTTACCGCAGCGACTTGTGCGCAGGACTTCCTGTTGAAGCAGTGAGAATGGCTGCAAAACCGATATCCTTTGATGTGAAGACTAGCGGCGAGCCTTGTGTTGAGATGAGGCTCAGGCGATACTGGACGAAGGAATGTGCGGCAGGCAAGAAATGAATGCCATGTCCTCAAAAGTCCTTGGCCAAAAATGAATCCCACTGTTTACTGCACTCTGCAGAAGTAGATCAATCCCATGAATGGGTAGAAAAAGAGGTTGAACTTGATAGATGGGCGAGGGGGATTCAACAGCCTGTCCATCTTGATATCTTCACTCAAATGCAATATTGTGATATTGTAGTTCAAAACTGAGTCATTCAAATGGTCAACATGACATAATTGAGCCTGATATCGTGTCTATATACCATTTCACTATATAACACCGCATATAGTCTTGAAAGCTATTTTTCGTTGTGTAAAGAGGAGAGAGGAGACCCAATGTAGTCTCCCCGACTCCGTATCCACATCACATAGGGAGATATCTCGACTGATGCCTCAAGGCTCTACAGGCATCAAACCCGCGACAAGAAACGCCATCTTCCTTCTTATTTAAGTACAATTTAGCCTATGATAACCAATTTCAATACCAACCAACAACGGCATCACATCACGGTATGACTCAACGGCCACCAGCCTGGAGAGTCGAGACCGAATTAGGAAAAGACTGAGACGCTGCTGCAACTTGCGCGTGTCACCCAACGCCCCAAAACCACGAAGATAAAATGGTCGCTGCTGCCGCCGTGTTTTTCGTTTGAATCAGCTGCTCTACGCTGCGTCATTGTCACCATGGCTGGTGTTGATACTGACCTAGATCAGACATTCGAAATTGTAGAGCGAGATGCAGTGCCCGCGCCTGCACCACAGCCAAACGACTCACACGAACAACGAATCCGGAGCCTAGAGAAATGGCTCCAACCAACCGACTTTCTCTCCCCCGGGAGCGAGTTCATGAAACATTTACAATCATATGTACCTGGAACTGGGGGATGGATCCACAAGTCGCCCGTCTTTCGCACTTGGACCAATGTCGACGCCAACTCTGACCAAGATCATGTTGGTGGCTCATGTCTCCATGTCCGGGGAGTTGCTGGCAGCGGAAAGTCCGTCTTTTCAGCTAGCACAGTGCGCCAATTGCAAGAATCCGGCAACATTGTTCTCTTCTTCTTCTTTCGCCAGATTGTCGACAAGAATCACAGCGCCAACTATCTCGTGCGCGACTTTTCTGCGCAACTGCTTCCTCATTGCCCTGCTTTGGCAACCACTTTGACGGCTATATCGCAAGATCATGCCATCAGCCGCAATGAAAACAGCTTGGTATGGCCTGCTCTCGTTGAAGCTATTACCAAGAGCATCTCAAAGAATGTGTACTGCGTTGTAGACGCTTTAGATGAGATGGATGATGGTGACTTTGAGGGCATGACGAGTCGGCTTATTGAGCTAGGCACCGCTGCACCTGAGAAAATCAAGGTTTTGATGACGAGTAGGCCACTGCCCAAGATTGAACAGGCTTTTAACAACAGGGGAATCGTCCGGTTGAAGCTCGACCCAGCCCTGCTTTTCCCAGATGTGGCACGTTATGTTGATGCTAGGTTGGCCAAGCTGGAGCCTCCGTTAAGCGACGACAAGAACGAGCTGATCAAGCAGACCATCTGTGAACGAGCCAACGGACTCTTTCTTCACGCCAGACTTATTGCGGATAATTTAGCCGAAGCCTTACGGGATGGGCATATCACTGAAGAGACTCTGCCTGGCAGTCTGGATCGCCTTCCACGAACACTCCAAGATGTGTATGAAGACATGTTAAAAGAACATGCTTATCGGAGCGGAGTCACAGCGGAGCAACAAGCCAAGGTTCTCATGTGTGTAACACATGCGAGCCGACCGTTACGATTGATTGAGCTTGGATCTCTGCTCTCTAACATGCTGCACATAAGCCTCGGACAAGGAAAGGACTTGGTGCGGCGGAGCTGCGGGAGGTTATTGGAGCTCCTGGAAGATGAGAGCGTGAGCGTTATTCACCATTCGTTCACCGAGTTTCTGCACGATGCCACGAGAAAAAAAGATGCTGCTGCTTTCCCAGTCTTGGATGATGTAGCTTCACATGAGATGCTTGCGGTGCTAATGCTGGAATATCTCGACGGCTGTCCGCATTTCGACGCCACTATCGATGACGACAGAGAGGAGGAGGAGGAGGAGGAGGCAAACTACGACGACTATGATTGGCGAGGCAAAGAGAGAGAAAGAAGGGAAGATATCGCAACCAAATTGCGAGAGACACATCCCCTAGTCTCCTACGCTGCTGAAAATCTGGCATTTCATCTTAAAAATGCATCAGTACAGCCGCTGGATTTTGCTCGAGAAGCTCTGACTCGCTATTTGCGCCCTGGGAAGCCAGCATTTGAGACGTGGATGCTGATGAATTGGCACGACCGACTATCTGCCTCTTTTACCGTCTTCCACCTCGCTACTGCTGTTCACCCCGAACTTGCCATGCCACTGGCAGTAGTCAAGCTGTTTGAGGAGAACGAGCCAACACTTCTTGATGCGCGTGACTCAGATGGCCGTACTCCATTATCCTACGCTGCCGAGAATGGTCATGACGAAATTGCCCAGTTTCTGCTTGCTAAAGGTGTAGACGCAGAGTCGGGCGGTAATGATGGCCAAACGCCCCTGCACAGGGCTGCATTAAGTGGTAGTTCTGGAGTTGTTCGACTTTTGTTAGCCGCTGGTGTCGATCCACTGATTAAAACCCACCCAGTTCTCAGGGAATACGATAGCTATGAAGGGTACTTCATAGATTATTCGGAGGAGCAAGCGGAGAGTCGGAGAAAGACTGCGTTGTCCTTTGCCTTCCGAGGTGATAACCCCGAGGTTGTCCAGGCACTTTTGCCCTTCATTCCACCAGACTCTGTGAATAAATACTTTCACCAAGTCAATGATGTGGAGAATGTGGAGGCCATTCTAAACACGGGCAAGGTCGATATTGACTGCTTTCAGAACGGGCAAACAAGGCTGTATAGGGCAACCAAGTCACACAAGCTGGACTTGGTCAAGCTACTCCTCAAGCATGGTGCAGACCCGAACAGGAGATGCTCCAGGAAGCGGTCTTGGGACTACAATGGCGAAATCACTCTGCAAGTTGATAACGAACGAGGACCAACACCTCTTCATGCGTTTTCTTCTCCAGATGATAGGGTCATCTTTATGAAAGATGACGTGAAGGAGGCGGAAGAATGTGTCCGAGTGCTCATAGAAGCCGGTGCAGATGTGAACGCCACAATGGAAAGGGACTATTCTCGCGGTGGTAAGAATCTGACACCTCTCCATCTCGCTGTGCAGAAGACTAGCACAACATTTGGATACTGGGGATCATTGGATAAGTCAGAAGAGATTCTCGCCAAAGTGCTCCTCGCAGCAGGCGCGGATCCTAACGTCCGGACAGACAAAGGAAACACACCTATGCACATCGCTAACCCAGAGAAGCCGCAGCTACTTGATATGCTCGTTGAACATGGAGCAGATCTCAACGCCGTGAATGCGTGGGGAAGAACGCCTTTGCTCGAGATTATAACCAACATGGGCCCTTCTTCGTCCGCTTTTGACCAGCTGAAACCGGATGTCCATACATTCAGCAAGCTCGTGGATCTCGGGGCTGATGTAAACGCTACAGACCAAAACGGGGATAATTTATTTCACCACATTATGAGTAGCATCGGGTTCTTTTCCGACAAGGAGTTTTTGCCCTTAGTCCGGCGACTGGTAAACTCGGGCGTGGACCTGAATCAGCGTAATCGGAAGGGTCATCCGCCTCTGTGGAAATATAATCTTCCTGCTCCTACGGACAGTGACGAGGAACTTCTCCGAGTGCTTGTGGAAGCGGGCATGGATATGAACGCATGTGATGAGGAGAAAGGCGAGACTATTCTATGGGTCGTCGGCAGGAGATTCCAAAAGAGCCTCAACACCATGCAAATGTTTATCCGTTTGGGCGCTGACCCCAAGGTATTCGACAGAGATGGAAGAACTCTTTTGCACGATGCGGCGAAAGAAAAAAAGGACGCCAGCTGGTTTCGCTATTTGATATCGGTAGGCGCAGATCCCGAGGTGCTCGACGCTGGGGGAGACACGATGATTCACTCGGTGCTTCGCTCGACATTCGAGGATCGTAAACTTGCTGAGATAATGCAAGTTCTGGTCGAGGCTGGTGTTGCGCCACTTGCCAAGAATAAAAATGGCCAGACGGCGCTTCACGTGGTGAAGTGCTTTGGGCCCCTGGAATATGTCCTCAAAAGCCCGCTTTTCAAGGGGTTAAATATCGATGAGCAGGATGTGAACGGCTTAACCCCCTTACACAACGCTGTAGCTCTTGGAGAAATAGACGTTGGGTTTCTTCTTCGTGCCGGAGCTGATCCAACTATCCTCGCGGCGGATGATCTATCCCTGCTACATCTTGCCTCTCGTACAGGGGCAGCTTCCATCGTCAACCTTCTCCTATCAGAGTACCGATGTCGAGGTGTGCTTGAGAAATACGTGAATCTTCTAGGCGAGGGTATGGCACCACTGCATTACGCCTGTTCTTTTGGACGGCCAGAGAGTGTCTGGGAGCTACTCCGCAACGGTGCAGATCCTTGGCTGTTAGATGTTGAAGGCCTTACGTCGCTGCATGCCTTGGCTGAGTTTGAACCTTTGGAACGTGCATGGAACTCGCCCCCAACTCGCACAGCAGATATTATTACCATGTTGCTCCAAGCTGGAGTCGATTTAACCGTCGAGGCAGTCGTTGAAGAAGACGACGGGAGGACCAAGACTGTAACTCCCGTGGATATGGCGGTAGAGAAGAAGTGCTGGGATATGGTACGGGCGCTGGTTGCACATGGCGTCAAAATCCCGGATAGCTACATACAGTCCCCAGAGTTCATTTTGGCCACAGACAAATACAAAGCCGCCCACAAGGTTCGTGGCATCTCGGCTACATTCCCTAAGCGGCAACACGTTACCATGTGGCGGGGGCGATGGGCAGTCTATGAAATGGATCGTCCTCAAAACAAAGAAAAGTTTTACATAGCTGACGGACAGACTATATTGGATACACAGGCCAGCGGGGTGACTGGACTTGACAAAGTAGACCTCTTGAAGGCTGCTCTTGATGACGGAGATTACGACAGTATTAAGGAGTACGCATCGCTAGGTGGAGATGTGCTTGCACTGGACGAGTATGAAGATAATACTCTCCTCCATTTACTCGTCACAGGAGGATATACAGACCTGCTCGAGTATTTTGCCGACCAAATCCCTCTTTTTGAAGCCCAAGACCGGGTCCAGGAAGACGAGGAAAGTTGCGGCACGCTTCTTGGCACAGTCTGCGAACGTGAACTCCCGTCTTTTCACATTATACAGTTCCTCGTTGACAAGATCGGTGTTGATGTCAATGCTGTCTATAACCGACGAGGATATTGTGACAAGTTACGAGGAGCCACCCCATTGCACATCCTGGCGAGCGGTCACTTCTTTTGGCAGATTGAGGCACTTGAATACCTCCTCTCAAAAGGGGCAAATATCGAAGCGCGGAACAAAGACGGCATGACGCCGCTGTTGGCGGCTCTGGATCATAGTTGGCCGGATGGTTACTGGCGAGAAGAGACGGTACGTGTACTGGTGAAGCATGGGGCCAATGTAAATGCGACCATTCAGCCGACCCAAGACGTGTTGGTGTCGCGTGAGCGCAACAGTGGGCGCAACATTGGCCTCTCAGCATTGGAGATGTCGGACCAAGCAGAGATCACAAGGCTCTTGCTCGAGAACGGAGCGGATGTCAATTGTGTGACGGGACTCATAGCCCGTATAGTAGCGAGACGGAACGATCCAGATACGATCAAGGTGTTGCTGGAAGCTGGTTTGGATCCGAACGAGCTACCAGCATCTGGTAAGGAGGGAAATAACGACAGAGAAGGGGCAGAAAGCGTGCGATATGCGCTCCACGAGGTATCTCGACCGTCAACTGGATCCTCCTATCTAGAGGCAGATCTCTATTCGCGAAACCAGAAAACGATAGAGTTGCTGCTCTTGCACGGCGCTGATCCATTCGCACTGTACCCAGACGGAAGATGTCTGCTCCATACTGTCGTTGAAGAACAGGGTCAACTAGACAGCTTCCTCCCTCAACTCTCACAAACAGATGTCAACCGTAAGAACCAGCATGGGCGCACACTTTTAATTTCGGCTTGTGCCCCGACTGTCCCGGTAGGGCCACCAACATACCGCGGAGATAAGCCACCATGCGCGAGTATCGTGCCGGATTCCATCCTTGGTTTGTTAAAGCATGGGACTGACGCCCTCGCTGTCGATGACGAAGGGCGTACACCACTCCATTGGCTCTGCACGCTTCCCGGGAAGTACGATAAGAAGCAACGACAGGCTTTTATCACGCTGGTTGAACACGGTCCAGCCGCTATCAACATGGTCGACAAGCAAGGCCGCAAGCCTCTTCATTTGGCACTCGCGGTGTATGGGGATCGCCTCCAAGAATCCCTGTTTGCAATCAAGCGCCTCATATCCGCAGGCGCCGATATAAGTGAACCAGATCCCGTAACGGGTAACTCGACACTTCACCAGCTCGCACCTCGTCTCGTAGGTCACGCCAGAAGAGCCGCCAAAGCCACCTCACTCTTCCGCAAGTTTTCCGCCAGTCTCGATATCAATGCCCGGAACACCTTGGGCGAGACTCCGGTCATGCGTTTCACAGCTTCTGGGTGGGAAGGCACACGGGATCCCGAGGGAAAAGTCTCGCATCCAAGATATGCCATTGCCAATGACGTGATGCACGCGACGGCTCTGGGCGTCTTTGTCGATTTGGGTGCAGATTTGATGGCTGTGGATGCACGGGGGCAGACGTTGCTGCATGTAACGGCGAGGCGAGAGCTTCCGAGCAGTAGCTCGGATTGGGATCAGCGGGAGGATCTGAAGGGTGCATTTCAGAAGTTGATGGAGCTTGGTGTTGATCCGCGGAGGGAGGATGCTGAGTTGAGGACGGCTATTGACATTGCTGTTGCGAGGAAGTTGCGTGACGTTATCCAGCTGTTCAGGGAGAAGAAGCAGGAAAAGAATGTAGAAGAGAGCGAAGAATAAGGGTAGTAGCAGTTCATAAGAGGAGTTGCTTTGATGTTTAATGTCGGACAGTCTGGGTAGGCGAGGAACTTGGCTAGAAATAACTCCCGCTAATGATAATGGTTTTCAGTTCAAGTAAAGAATAAACCAGACACATAAATTTCACGCGTGCGTCCCATGCTAGAGCTACGCGGTCTATGTCCAAAGATACGCATATGCGGAACTTCCACTGCCAGCGAGACTTCTGCGGCGTTACATATGAGACAATACTGTAGATGAATGAAACTGAATTGCCATATTCAAGATAGTCTACCAGCTAACTATACCTTGGTATTAATTTGGAATATTGGCAAACATAAGAGTTATATATATGAAACAATTTATTCCGATTGTTCGACACCACATGTTGCTCTATTCTCTCTTCCTTTAATAAAATTCACTGCATGAATTTCTGTAGTCTTCCTAGATTGCTGTGGCCCGTATTATTTCTCAAGTATCATCTTTGCAAATCTTAGTTACTATATCAGTCTGTCAAAACCAGCCGTCAACACCAGTCTTTGTGGTTCGTTGCCGGATCATGCCAAGCAAGCTAAACAATAGTATCAGCATCTATGCCAAGATGCCCAGCCATTACCGGACCAACAGTCTGATTCTCTCTTTCTTGGTGTCGTAAATCAGTTCCATTAGTAGCTTCTTCGGCAAGTGTATTTACGTGCTGTTGATTCTCGGCCGGTTGCGGATTCCCTCCTGTGAAAAATGCAAGAAAGATAGTCCACAGTATTGGTATTGAGGTAAATATCGTGACAATAAGCGAAATAAGTTGACCTGATGAAGAGATGGTGGCGCCGGATAGATCGATGTTGTTGACCCGAATAGTTCCTTCAGTCCAAATGATACCAGATATAAGAGCAAAGAGGCCGACCATGGTATATAATATAGTGGGGGAGAAAGTCGTCGGCAACAAAGTAATGAGAAAAAGAATTGCGTAGCCTAGATCAGATTTCCGAGAGGATAAGATTCTCCAAATAGGCTCCAGTCTCCAACCAGGTGGGAGTCTCCAAAATCGTCGAAATATTGAAATTGTCTCATCATATAGTTGGATTAAATCGAGTAAGATATTCCACGGCATTCCACTGAAAACATCTAGGGCTAAAATTCGAGCCTGCCGTTGTGCTTCTACAAAAGACAATGCATCTGACTCAGCTTGTGGCTTACTGGCATTGAGTTTCTTAAACTCAACCCAGAACCCAAGGGTGAAGTATAATACGACACCGAAGATAGTGGCAGGTAGAAGTGTCGAGGCTGCCAGCACTGAAGAGACCCTAAGAAAGTAATACCATTTTTTTGTGTACATATGAACAGGAACATAGAAGTTAATCATTTCTTTGCAATCTGGATGGTGGCCAAGGTTTATACCACCCCAATAGAGCCAGATTTGAGTTACTCAAGAAGGATGGATGAGAGTAAAAATGTCCAAGCTATGCTGAAATAGCCTAGGTTACCTATTGACTTGTTCAATCTCAGCCAAAATTCTTCTTTGATATCTCTTCTGACGCCATGCATCAAGAGAAAAATCAAAGCCAGGAATGATGTTTGGTAATCTTGTGGTGGTTCTGAAATAAATAGAAAGCGCTATCAGTGATATATTTGAAACCAAGAAACCATTGTTATTTAGAATAAGTGAGAGTTTTACTCACCGTTTTCTTTCATTGTTGTTGCTATGATCATAAGAATAGATATGTAGTTGAGGATCCATAAAATGAACTGCAATTGCGCAAAAATGATCCAGTATTCCAGATATAGAAAGCCGTTGCGATTGATGTCCTTGAAGAAATTGATCACAATGGCTGTGGCGACGGCATTGAAACCAAACCGCAGTGGGCGTAAGACCTCGGGCCCAGAAGCAAGAAGGCCAATTATCGCAGTAAAAGACTGAATATAGATGCTAATACGGATGCCAATGCCGTAAATGTCGCCGTCGCCGACAAGATCGCAGGATTCAGTGTCTCGATAGTACGTATACGACGCGACGGGGATTGGATAGACCAGAAGACATAGAGCAAGCGTTTTAAGGGTGTGTTGAACTTGCGATTGGTTAATATGAAATATTCCGTTGCGGCATGACATAACTCACCCATTGCGTTACAATAGCTGAGTTGTATTGGCTGCAAAGTGTGATAAGAATTCTGTGATTCACGCAGATGGATTGTCTGCAGCTTTTGAGCTCTATATAATATTCTGATTAGCTGCGTCTATTGTCTGTAGTTGCACTAAACCCTTCTTTCACCCGTTTTGGAGAAGAAATTGGTGGCTGTTTCTATTGATAGACATGAGCGGCGTAGAGCAATGAGATAAAGTTGCACAACACATGTAGTCTGACCCATCCTGAATGATCCAGCTTAACCTCTTGCTTCAGCGTTTAAGCTGTCCAATAACATTAAAGTTAATGCAACTATCCAGATTGAGACAGGCACCAAGCTACTTGTTACTGGCGTAATTTGTGCTTGCTTAATAGACTGAAACCTGTGCAACGAGGCGATGATGGTTGTGGCACCACACGACAAACCAACAACATAGACTGGGAAGGCTTGTGAACATGAGCCTAAGTACAGCAATTGAATAGATTTAACTCAAAAAGACTAATTCAGGCAGGTTTAAATATAGCCGCGGAACCACGACATGACGGCGGCATACAGGCGCGACCAAGCGCCAAGTCATTAAGACCATGTAACTCACAACCAAGTTTCACATTCCAAGCTAAGCTGCTGTTGTGTCTCACGAATATTGCTCCGCTACCGGATATGGTTTCTGTGAAGGGTAAACTAAAGCCACTGGCCAGGAGACCGACTACCACCGTAAATATTACAGGTTTAGCCCCATGTAACTCTCTTTTCACATACAAGCGCTTCAGTATCCTCAGTTGAAAGAAACATATATTATGCAAGAATGGATAATAACCACATTATGATGTGTCTAGTGAAGCTTCTTTTAGTATCTAACATATTATGATTATAGAGTAGTGCGAATAGAGTCAGCTGCATTCTCTGACCTCCCAATTCTTACCTAATGCTTTCCTTTACAAAGAAGATTTAAGAAAGTCGAATATGGAGTTGTATGCAAGCTTGTGCGAGTACCCCAAGTTGAGGCCGTGGCCACCTCCAGGAATGACGCTTGCCTTGAAGCTTGAAGCGTGGGGAAAGAAAGGCTTGGAGAAGGAGATGAGGTCGGGGAAAGTTCCCTGAATAGTGGTCGTGTCCGAGCAGTTGCCACCGCAGAAAGGCACGTCCTCATCTGTAGTCACAGATGTTAGTAATGATTTCAAACATGCCGAGAGATGGAAACACCTACTTCCTGTGACGATGAGCAGGTGGCCTTTGAATGCGTTGACCACGCCGGTACCAGCGCCGATGGTAAGTATCTCGCCGGGGGCAGCAGCTTGTCCGTTTTCAGTGGCATATGTGAGTAGCTTAGGATCGAAGTCATGGGGAGCAAAGAACTGAATATTGACGCCGGTACCTGACGGCACCGTAATGTAGCCAGCGGGGTACTTAGCAGCTTGGCAAGGGACCTCCTTTACAGGCTTGAAATTGCCGCCGAGGGCGAAGCCGGCGAGGAAGTTTGGGTTCTGGCTGAAGCCGGTCAAGATGGCAGCATCGCTAAAGGTCGGGTTGGCGTTGACGAAGTTATAGGTTATGGCAGAGCCAAAGGAATGGCCAGCGTGGACAAATTTGCTGAATTTAGCGTTGATGCCCTTCACAGAGCCTTTGCGAAGCAGTGTTGAGAGCTCTGTGAGAGCAGCAACTTCAAGGAACTGCTGGATCTCATTGATTGGGTTGCCCTTGGAGGAAGCGCCAACACCGAGACGGTCCCAGGTAAAGGTCGAGAAACCATGCTCGTCGACGGCTTCGGCAACGTAGCTATAGTTGTAATAGTCATAGGGGTAATCCCAGTAGCTGCGGTCAAAACCAACGCCGTGTGTCAAGATCTGAAGGGTTTCACCCGGGCCATGGTCTGGCTGGCAGTAGGTGGCTGCGATATTGTAATGGCCGCTGACAGTTTTGTACTTGTAAAGGGGGGATTCTTAGCACCATCAGGGCTTTCCTGGATAAGGGAGAAGTTGTCTTACTCCTGTTAGGTATTTATCGGTGGTATTAACACCTGGCCGAACAAAGTCAAGAAAGAAGTTGGTGACATCAAGCTCTGATACAAGAGCTGGAAGGTCGAAGACGGCGTTTCGAGCTGAGATAGAAATTGGAATGGTGAGATCGTGGCATTTTCGAGCCGCAACGGCTGTAGCAAAAGCCACGAGTGTCACTGATTTGAACATGATATCTCAAGAGGAAAGTGTGGGGATAGTAGTATTGGATGGTGAGAATGATGCTTGTGAATGAGACACTACATTTTGGTTGGAACCTTAGTAGGCTTATATATTCTATCATTGTTAGAATTCTCCTATGTCTTCTTTATTATTTTGTAGACGCTATTATCAACCAGATCGGCTCGGTTCCAATTCAACGCCCGACCGTCATACGTATATTCGTTTCTTTCAGAAATTGTCATCTTGTGCTCCACAGAGATCGATTCCCCAGGGAGACTTGTGGCTTGATTGCTGCTTGTGGTTAGCCTCCAATGTTCACCGATTCAAACACCTGTGTCTAAATAATGCAGGGGTAAATGTCTCAAAATGACGTGTTCGTAGTTTACAACAAAGACGATTCTGCGAATCAAGTTCCAACCGTTCCGAGCTTCCTCGGGCCGTCCGTAAGAAGAGCGTAACTGTCAGCAAGGGTGGATCTCTTCCGATCCTTCTGTCGGTCGTCGGGCGGCAGGATTCTAGAAGACAATGCCAGAAGTTATTGATTACTACTCTTATTTTTGGCAATGGCAAAAGCAATATTTGTCTGTATTTTCCAATTATTCAAGTCCGTGTTCGTCCGTGTTTGTTCGTGTTCCGCTGGTGCTTTCCCCTTGCATATTAACGCCCGGAGTTGTTTACGAGACGACCCTTGCATGCCTTACTCGGCATTGTTCCCCACTTATTATTCCAAATTCCAAATCAATGAGCTAATACGCTTGACGATGAAGCCTTCAGCTTTGGCTATTCATGTCGAGTGCTTACTCCCTAATTAGTACCATGAGCAATTACCTTTTTCCAACTATTTGTCAGGACACGATTTTATCCATGCCTACGCATCATTCTTGACCCCCACGAAGAGTTATAGGCAGAGCTTTATGATAATTTGTCCTCGGACTCCGAGGATGCGAATTAGGAGACTGCGGCAGCTGTAAATAGATTGGCCAACTAGCACGGGTGACAGCTCTGTGGCCTGATAAAGAAAAGAAATTATGAACTATCAGACTGAAACCAGCCAGGTAGCCGTTATAGAGAAAACATTCTTGACCAGATCTCAGAAAAAACAAGTCATGATATAAGTAGCTATCATTACTCTCGTCAGTCAAGACTTATTGCAATTCACCATCTGTATTACTGCTAAAATGTATGTACTATCTACGCCTTACTGGCTTATTATCATCTCGATCCGTACACGTATGCAAGTAGTAATTGGGTGTTCCATATTTTCTCCACCGTTATGTCTAACGAGTTGGGGTTGGCCTCGGCTGAAAACTGTGAGCTTTATCCAACATTAGGTCCGCTACCTTGGTCAGCAACGAGGGCGCAGTAATTTCCGCTCTTGACAGTAGAAGTGGCGCAGGTTCCATCCGGATTCTTTTATAGGGTGAGATCAGTCAGAGAGCCAGAGAAACAAGTCCTGTTGCGAAAGTAGAGCAGAGCGTGGACGTCGATCTTGGGTTATACTTTACAAAGTTTTCTACTATAATGCTACATATAATTGCTAGACGAGCGCACGAGTCGCCCAACTTGATGAGAATATAGGTACAGACTGTGGCCAACACTGCAACAGGGCTCTTCATCAAGAAGTCGACTTCAGAACACGACTTCATACTAGGTATCCGATTCTTGTTTGGAAACGGCGGATTTACTGACTTTATTTTATTGAAGAATGCTTGACATCTTACATGGTGCCTGGTTCACAGCTAATGCGTATGATAACGTACAGCGCAGCGTAAGAACAAACCATTACTCGTTCAAACTGCTCCTAAGAATATCTGACAATATCTAGGAATTTAATCAGTAACTTACATTATAGTGAATCCACATACATCCACCGCCTAGGTATAGACTACCTTCTAAACTTAGAATAGAATCATTGATACTCGTGACTATTACTTAAGAGCCATGTGGTGGCCCGGCGGCAACATGGAAGATAATAGCAATCTCGTCAATCCACCCGGTTGGCATCATGTATGTTAGCAATAAGAATAGCAAAACCTTGTTAGGTCCACCTTGAGTAACAATTTTCTTCCATCAGAACGAGTGTATGCCCCGGTTGTTATTATTACTGCTTCCACATACCAGTAGGTGATACGCGTAGAGGATAATGATTCGTCATTTAGCTAACGGGTCCGTGATTTCCGTTACAATACCTCATTGGATCATTTCAGCATTCACACCAACAAACCTACGCACCAACATACCTATGTAAGTATCTTCATTTTCACGCTTAAATATACCAACACCTGTGCCGGTTTCGGACATGCACCGCTTGTGTCACGTATGCATTTAGGCGCTTCTTCCTCTCCTTTGCAGCCCACAACTCACCAGCTCTCCGCAGCAAATAAATGTTCACAATGACTCGGCTTCTCTCATACCTTATTACTTTCGTAACCGCACTCACCACAATCGGTTTTCTCTTTCATCAGTCAAAGGTATCAATGCCGACCATTAAGGAACGGGAACAACCCGAAATGAGAATAGATGTTGTGGGAAGTTATCTGTGTGACGACAAAGAAGAGAAGAAATTCAGAGCCAGGTTTGGTAGGGGCCCAGGCGTTTCAGTTAGAGGATGGCCATCCAAGGGTGGCATATATATATTGGAGCGATGCTTCAATATCGAACTGGACTTTCTCAAGCTGGACAAATTTCATGATACGCCACAGCCATCTCCATCTAACCCTAATGCCATAGCTGAAGAAGAGGCGCACTGCGATCGGAGTAAGTACAATGCAATATTTCTACATGTTTAGGAGTTCATACATATACCTTTCTTTTTTTTTTTTTTTTTCCCCTCCTGAACACCGAAACTTCCTGAATTCGGAGAAACATTGGGTATTAGCACTTTATTGCTTTTACAACTTTCTTGAGACACTAATTTGAATATGTAGTGAGGCAATTAGGCGCTATCTGGTAGAAGAGTAAAAGCGAGGAAAACATGAGACAAATTCAACAGGCTGTCAACCCACGTCTAGGAAAACCCTTCATCAAAGTTGGATGGCCTGCCGGAGGTGGAGTCTGGGTTCTCAATATAACTGAAGATGAGGCTATCACAAGAGGTGTCGGTATCATTTACAATGCTTCTGATATGGAACATCGATGCCGATTGACTGAACAATTAGGAGGCGCCTTCTTTAAAAATCCGAACGATTGGTTAGACTTGGATTTGCCTTGAGGGCAAAGCTGTAAAGACTGATGATTTCGAAAAAGACATAGCCTGGGATTAATTTCGGGTAACTAGAAAAATAAATCAACACATTCGACAACCTATAAAACATCTCGATTTCTTGTAACTAACGTGCTACACGCCTAAAGAGCAAGTCACCTTTGTCAATAGCCACCTATGTCTTTGTCATCATAGTCTAAAAATGCATCAGCGGTGGCGATGATTTAATGTTGAAGCTAAGAGTTGGTTAAAGGGTCTTAGTTGCACATGGTTTGAAACTAAATGAATGATAAGTTGACAAATCCAAAACAGCTGATGTTCCAGAAATGAGGACTTTAGCTTTAGCTGTAAGTAGATATATCTCCATTGATTGAAATGCGACTTTTAATTTGTTTCGTACTTTATCTATGAAGTCGTTTAAGAAGAGTCTGATTAGTTGACAACTTACTCCGGGCAGAGCTCTAACCTCTTCGGTGCGTGTTGATATTCTCCGACCCCCGCCAAGTTACCAATGCCTGCAACACTTCTGCAAGCATCATTCGTTCTTATGAAGCGCATTCTCATCCTATAGAGCTTTAAATAGTGCTTCAGCTTGGTTATTCTAAGCTTTTTCACCGCTACGTCTTGGCGAAAGTCCAATACCCTCTTAGAACCACCGGAGCTGACTGGATGCTGCCAATGGTAACCGACTGATTATCATTATCTTTCGCAATGCAAGTATCTGCTCATCAAGATTGTGTTGATTCTCTTTTAAAACGTCATCTATGCCTGTCTTACAACTAGGATACGGTATCTTTTGGACGCATGCTGTTACGTCTGATGACTCGGCGACTTATATAGTAGCAATTTTAAGCAAAGATCTCCGCAGTGTCAACCCCCTGAGGCGTAGGAGCATCGCGAGCGAAGATCTCGGCAGTGTCAACGCCTTTAGGTGTAGGGGTGCTACGAGCAAAGATCTCGGCGGTATCTACACCCTTGGGGGTTGGGGCTTCATTTCGGGCAAATATTCCAGCAGTTTCGACACCATTAGGCGTCGGCGCGTTCCGAGCAAAGATCTCGGCGGTGTCAACACCCTGGGGAGTAGGAGCCTTCACTGTGTCGTACAATGTTAGTACCGCCAAACATTGCAGAGTTTCTGTTTTCGTTACCTGGAATAGGGTTTGCCACGGCAGAACCAACAAGAACCGCGAGAACCGCGACTGAGATGTTGGCGAAATACATTTTGGAGTTGAAGTTTGGAAGTCGGCACTGTTCGAAAAATGATATGTGGAGTTGCGTTGAAGCAAAAAGAAGAGGTGAAAGGACAGTAATTTTTTCTGAGATGAGAAGAGTGTGATTGCTTATGAGATGAGATGGTTTGATGTTTACGAGATGAGCTGATACTTATACTTGTAGAGTTGAGTGATACCCGCAACTCTTGAGTTGTTGAAGCTAGAGCAACAGAGCTGATGAATCATCATGCTACAAAATTAGCATCTTCATTCACCGAAAATCTCATTGTAACCTCGTTTTTCCTTCCCATGCCAACACCATTGTAACGCGAGTGTTGATATCAGCGGTGAGTTCTTGATTTGACGATCTAATACTACTTCCACCATTGCGTGGAATGGAGCAATCTCGGAGCTTACTCAGACCGCGCGAATGAGGCATCGTTAGATGCACGACTCGCCAGCCCATCAAGGTTTGAAGACATATTAACAAAACAACCGCTCATATGTTACAAGTCATTCCAGGATCCGGCATCCGGAGATGCATTAGCGCGCCGATTTCCCTTGAATCTGACACAGATCCATGTTACCTTGGGAGTTCTAGATTGCAATCGGGCACCAGCCGTGGCTCCGCTCATCCATACGCGTACTCTCATTAGACAAACAAGATACCAAAACCCGGACCACATACCCCAACTTTCTCGTCCGTTGTCTCTCTCTTCTGTTCAACTTTGATAGTTATTTGCTGTGCTTTCATAATGGCCGTTTCTTTTTCTCGACTCTCAATGAGTGACAGCTCGTCAGAGAACGATGAGTCTGACCGACTTATGGAGAAAGGCGGTTCGGTAGAATCACTCTTGCCGCCTACAAGAAATAATGTGGCAAAGGTCTTTACCTGGGGAAGATTATACTCTCTCGTGCTTCACATATTATGTGTTGGCTTGATAGTTGCGCTTTGGATGAGCCGTCAACAAAGCTCTTACTCTGCTGCTCGTCGCGGACGTAGTTGGTGTAAGTCTATCCAACCACAAGTCGTCTAAAACTCGAAAGCTTATCATGACTTAGCTCCTGCTGCGAAACATGTTGAATACGAAGTCAATGAAGACCATCCTATGGACTATCACGGTGTTAACAAGTACGCTGGTCCTCCAAACAAAGCTCAAGACGCAGCGTGGGACGCCTTGATTAGACGTATGCATCCATCACCCAGGGGGGAAACGCTCGCCACCTACTAACAATACCATAGCCGTCTATTTCAACGCAAGTGTCGAAGAACTAGAAAGGGCGGGAGAGTCATTCGATAACATTGCCGAGTTGACTGGTGGCGGCTATCCCGCCAGCCTCGGCGCCTATCACCAGCTGCACTGCGTGGTAATTTTCTTCTCTTGTAATCGGTTACTTTGAATCAGATAAACTGACATGAGCTACAGAGACAGCTGCGCTTCTGGATTTACCGCGATTACTACTATCTCAACCTTACCAAGGCAGAGGATGAATACCTCCACACCCATCTCGGTTAGTAGATGCTGTCACATTCTCTTGACTCATGCACTAATCATCCAACATGCAGATCACTGCACAGAAACTCTACGATTGGCCATCATGTGCCACGGTGATACAGGAATGTACTCGTTCTCTTGGATGGACCCCAAAGCACCCAAGCCGATGGCGCAGACAAGCTCAAAGTTGGCCTGTGTAAAATGGAGCTCAATTGAAGACTATGCCCGTAGTAGAATGATTCCAACACATCCTTCTCTAATCCACCCATAAGGTGGTTTGGAGTAGCCAAAAGGTTTTGGCGTTGGCAAATATTCGATAGTGTTGTACTTGTGCAATAGCGCCTCGGGTCATAGAGGAAAGGGGGAGGAGATAGCAAAATAATCTCACGACGCAGTAATATCCACGGTGAGAAACGGTTGTTCATAGTAATTCACTACTTTTTTCATGTACTTTTCGTGTAGAGAACAAATTCTAAGTTCATTACGTCTTTTTTTTGTCTCAATTATTATAGAGCTCTGTGACCTTTTTTAACAAAACTTAATGCAGGCGGTATCAGCCTTACATGCTGTTTGAGAACACTATGTTTTCTTCTCTCGTGGCGGCTACCAGCTGTATAAAAGACAGCAAAGCGATATACCAGATGTGAGTCTCTGTTCATCATTCTTCAAATTAACTACACAGCTGACTTTTACAAGCCCCGTGGTTGGACATTTGCATTTGATCTTAATTGTATCATACTTCCGGGTAGGCCAAAATCAGAAGGGCCTTGAATACTTCTGCCACCCACTGACTGTACAGAGTCCTCAGCATGTTTACACCATATCAATGGCTCATACATCGCTCCAAATGTTTAGGAGTATATATATAATCTGCTCGTAGAATTGTAACTTCACGTTTACCGGTAAAGAAGAATTGAGAAGATAATAATAATGAATTAACGCGCGCGTAACGGCGACGCATAATTGACTAAACAACTACTTGAACAAGTTCATTATCATCTAAGCGAGAAGAACAAGAAGAAAAAATGCACCGTCGCTCATCCCATGCAGGGAACGCAAACTGCCGTCGTGGATCTGCTGGTACACCACTCGCTATGCAGGCTGTAGTATACAATATCTATCCCGATCCTCGAAAACCCAATCCCACCCGAAAACGAAGTAGAACAAAAACGCCGAGAGAAAAAGAATCATGCCAGGTTTGTGTGATGGACCAGTCTGAGGTGAGGCTCTCCCACCTGTCCAGTTTCCAAATCCCGGCGGAGCACGGGGGGATCCTAAGCAGACCTGCTGCGAGTCGATCAACCCAGCATGATCCAAGTCTCCGAGGTTGGGTTGTTTGCGTTCTCCACAATCTCCGTCTGGGACGGCACATCATCGTCAAGCTCGCTGTCGGTAAAGCAATCGTAATCAGAGAGGTCAAGCATCAGCTCTGGGGGTTGAGATGTCTCGACGTCAAATGTTGGATTTGACGCGTTCTGCCCGTAGACGATTCTCAGAGGAGGGAAGGCCTCACTCGTCTCTGAGTCGTCAGCAGCTGAATGCCGAGCTGTTGAAGCGTTTGCCTTGGTGCTGCACTCGCCAACATCGGAATAGGATAGAACGAGGGCTGCAGGCTTAGCCTTCTTGGACTTGCGACCCCGCTTCGCAGGACGAATGGTATACACCGGGGCCTCGTGTTGGATGCTGTTGAGGTTGAAGATTTCCTCAGGGCGCTGCTCGTCGCCGTCGTAGAGAAGACCCTGTTGGTAAAGCTCCGCGATCTGCGCATCTTCACTTTCGGGGGAAGCGCGGAGGTGAACTTTGCCCTTGGCGGTGCTGGCAACCCGGAAAGCCTCCTCGCGTTCCAGGCTGGGCCGTCTGACAAGACGAGGAACGTCACTGGGGAGCGGAATCTCGCTGCGAGCAAGATCCCGACCTTCCTGCTCTTCGTTCCGAGGTGATACGGTGGGAGCGCGGTTCTCACGCTTGCCCTGCTGCTCACGAATACCGTGTAAGAGGTAGCGAAGGTCCCTCTCGACGTCTACTTGAAGAGGGCGCGGAGCCTCGGAAGAGCCGCCATCCTTCCGCCGAGCCTCCCACGCACCGGAGAGGCAGGAATAGTCGGGGTATCCCTGGTAGGAGAACTGATGGTAGATGGCGTGGCTTTTCGACTCCATCAAGCGCTTCGCAGTAGACCTGACCAGGTAATTGGTACCACGACGCCGGAGGACGCCGCGCTTGGACTGGACATGGCGACGCTTGGCGGCGGGGGATGAGAATGACTTGTGATCCATGATGACATCCATGATGGCTTTATGTAGGTATGCGATTGTTGTAGTGGACAGATGAGAGAGAGAAGCGTCGAAGCTGGTCGGATGGTAATAGAAGATGGTCGAATGCGAAGATGTCACGGACGACCGGTATAGGGCGTAGGAAGAAGTGATGAACTGTCGAAAGGGGTGCCATGTCAGTCGAGATGGGAAAGACTAACACGATCCAAGGCAGGGGATCACTTACCAGGGCGTGTACTAAGCACGAAGGGGTACGTAGATTACAAACGAGCAAACGACACGCAGTGAAGCGAGTAACGTTTTGTTATAGAAGGCGCACTCAAAGGAATAAGGCACGCCTAAAGGAGGGATTCGTTCGTGTTTGCCTTTTTGAAGTAGAAGCTCAAAGAGCCGTGTAGAAGCAGCAAAGAAGACAAAGAAGGGCTCTAGCAGGCCACCCCCGGCCCAGAAGACAATCTTATATCAGTTGCCATCTTGCTGATATCATGTCCTACTCGACTGGGCGATGGCATGCTGATTGGCCCTGAGAAGAGTCATCTGGCCGCGCCTGGACGAGCGCATGACGTGACTCACTCTATTCCAAGGATTGGCCGGACTGGTGGCGCAGTTGGCCAAACAGAGACGGCCTCGGGAAAAGGGGCTGTTGGCTGGAAGCGGAAGAGCGCCATTGCGAGGCTGACGGGAAGGATGGCGCACGAGTAGCAGTACTTTGGCGCGTACTCATACATACAGTACGGTTATGCTTGTGCCTTTGTGCTTAGGTGAAAGAAGGTGTGGACGATGATGAATAGGTGTGTCACCGGTAAGAATACGGGGCAGAATAGGAGGCAGACACCGGAAGAGGAAAGCGGCGTGAGGCCTGCATGCATGGGGAGTGCGGAGTACAGGGAACGGGGTGGATACTGCCAGGTACCAACGTATCTCCCACGTCATATCAGAGGAGAGGTGCTGAGTACTTGGGGTCCCGTGGTACAGCGGCGATGCGCCACGTACTGATACTTGTTATCAATAGCGCCCAAAGTAGCTGTTCGGTAACATTAGTCGACGTTTCCAGCGGCGTGGGATTGGGACATGCAGCCCCTTTGCCCAATTCCAGTGTCATCATTACACTCCAGCTGTAATGCATCTTGCTGGGACAGGTTCTGTAGAGTAAGCGGTACAACTACTCCGGACCCTTATCCGCTTCCGAGATCACGAACAGCTTCCATCCTACCAAGGCAGTGATGCTTATCTTAACCCAGCCGAAGTTTTCACTCGTTGGCAGCAAAGACTGGGCAGACGTTGGTACCAAATGTACATGCAGAGGGAGGACAAAGCCATAGCCGGGGCTATCAGCTCAGGATGCTTCCCCGGAGCCTAAAATGGCCGGCTGCGTTTGGGCCGATGCCGCGCGCCTCACATGGGGGCGAACAGCCGCTATCAGTGGCTTACTGCCAGGCGACCCTTGGTTATCTGTGGCTTGAATGGGTTGTTTGTGTGTCTCACAATGACAGCCTAGCTTCAGCTATGATTAGGGGCTCTCCAGGCTACAGTGGCCCACGAGAGTCATCATAGCCACGAGACCAGCACTTCAAACTCGATCCCGAGGCTCTGCGCCGACTCGCGTACCATGTGAACAGGACAAGAGGCAGACAGACATTTCAAATGATTCTAGCAATAAAGGCAATATTACGGGGTATAGACTTTGGCTGTGGGGGGGATGGGCAGGATAGTATCAAAGGGGCCGAGACCGCTATTTCTTCCCATTCAGATGATGAACGGCTTTAGTAGTTTCGTCTTGCGAGCACCAATCATACGAGCAACGTTGCTCTTGTTACTCCATTCTCGATAAAGTACCAGTACTCGTGCCGTACTGTCCGCCGTCTTTGGGTGATTTAGATCCGCGGCAAATATCGTAGCTTGCATATGTGGGTGTTGTTTCAAAGGAAATGCGTACGGAGCAGACCGGAGCCGAGGAGATGCTGGTGGCAGGATTGTCGCGTCTGATGCAGAGAGCACGGAGCATGCCGATATGGGGTGCAGCGTGCTGTACTGCTTGCTTCGTATTCTTATTCACATTTGCCGGCTGTAATGCGACCCGACGATAGCAGTAAAATGCCTAATACAATATATTTCAGGCATTATTTATGCAGTGTGCCACTCATGAGCGCTGCACGTTTCGTCCAATGTACAGCATCATCACAATCTGTGGACTCTGCATGTCCTGCTACCGTAATATGCTGAACCCATCAAGGTGTGTAGCACTGCATTCATTCATCGCCGATAAGGCCGATAACGCTGATAACACCCCGGATTCGTGATAACGGAATCGTGTTTCGTTTCATTCAATTCTATTCTATTATTAACAAACAAGTAAGATAAAAGATGATAATACATCACATCGACCCATTACAGCGCAATCAATCAATCACAGTGCTTCGTCCAAACTGACGTCCATCGCCGCCAGATACGCTTTCACATCCGTCATCTTCATCCCCCGCGCCGAATTCACCGTCTTGTCCTGGCCCCAAGCCACCCCCCTGGCCTGAGCAAACGTATCCCTGTACTTGACCATTGTGTTGTCCGGATCCTCGCGCATCTGCTTGGCCAGCTCGTCCAGGTCCCAGAGCTCGCGCCGGAAGCGAGTGCCAAAGCGCTCGTCCAATAGATCGCCCACCTGCGCGTACGTGAGAGTGTCGCCCGCCACGTAGACGCACTGGTTCTTGAGGCCCTGCGGATCTAGAACCACTTCCGCGGTGGCCCGGCCAATGTCCACGGGCGTTGTGAGCGTGATGCGGTTGTCCCACGAGCCGAGCCCGCGCACCGTCCTGGTGCTGAAGTCGACGATGCCGAACTCGGCAACGAAGAGGAAGCTCATGAAGAGGCCGGTCGACACGATGATCCATTCCGTAGTGTCTTGGGCGCGAAGCATCGCTCGCACGCCCAGCTGCTCGTCAAATAGGTCCTGCGAGCTGCCCAGGCCGATGGCGTCGTAATCCATGCCAAACTGCCAGGGAAACCACCGGACCTTTGCCTCGAGCGCCGCCTGGGAGAGCTTGGTCTGCGTTCCTGACGGCAGGCCCATGCCGTTGCAGGACACCACAGTGTCGTATCTGGTGAAGATGGCGGCGAGCTCCGACACCGAAGCCTGCACCACATCAGCCGCCTCAAAGTCGACGCCCAGCGCCCTGATTTGCTGAATCAGCTTCTTCTTATCGGGTGCGGCAGAGTCCAGCGTGGCCTGCCGCATCATGACGGTAATCTTGCTGTGGTTGCGCTTGGGGTGTCTGGCGAGCGCCTCCAGAACGGCGAGGCCAAGCTCGCCAGCACCCAGAACGAGGATGTTTTCAGCCATTGCGCCGCGGTGATTGAATTGTTTGTTTAGAGCCTGCAGATTGGCAAAAGTGAGTTGAAGACGAGCTCCCATGATCGCCGTCCATTGGCCCTTATTTAACTTTGGCACTTGTCGAGCTTCAGATCGTCAACTGGCCTCCCCGTAGAAGAATTTTTTCTCTTAAGCCATTACATGGCATGACTTTTGGAGGCAAAACTGCCCATCCTCCATTCTTCATTGGCCCGTTTACCAGCTTAATGAAGTCACTGCCGGATCCAACTTTTTCGCTGCTAAGCATTGCCGTCCTTGGCAACCGGACCTGACAAATGACTTATCCTGTGAATGAATACGAAAATATACGATCGCAAAAAACTGTATAGTTGCAACTTTACTATCCTTCTACTGGCGCTCAAACTAGCTGAAGCGGATCTTTTCGCCCATGTTCGCGCTCGCGACGGATTTAAGCTACTTTGGCGGGGGGAGAGGACGTGTTAGTGAAATGTAAGTAAATGGCATGCTAGCGGGTAAGAAATCCGGCTGATGGCTAACAGCGATGGATTCGCGGAGATTATTTGGCTAGGCACAAAAGGTTAAATGTTGACAGGTGCCGAACTAGTTGCATTTGAAGATATGAATGAATATTCTAGAAACTGACATCACCACCCTCCCATTATCTCCTATACCGATTGCCTACATACTCTTCTATCCAAAAGCCGAAACCAGTCGGAAAGACCCTGTGTCATGTGTCTCGTGAGTGGCAGAATTGTCCTCCCTTTGATGTTATGATACGTCTCTCGTGATTACAAGACGGCGGTGCCAAGACGCAGCTAGACAGTGGTGTTCTTGTTCGCGAACCCTACAACCTTGTTGCCAAAGTCAAAGACGGCAAACTGAGCCTTCAGAGCAATGTCTCCCAAGACGCTAAACGGCGCGCCCTCGTTATCCTGGATGCCGCCGTAGCAGTACGTCCTGTTGATCTTTCCATAATTCATATAAGGGCCTGGGACGATGCCTCTGTACTTGCCCAGTCCAAAGGCAAAGTCGGGCAGCTTCGCGGTGCAAGGGAACACCATCATTCCCACTTGGCTGCTCATGATCGAGCCGTTGACCTGCGCATAGTAGGCTTTGACGATGTCGGTGGTTGCCAAGAGCAGTGTGGTGCCAGTGTCGGCGATGGCGTTAAAGGTGCGGTTTACGTACTTTGTGTCGTCGCTGCCGACACGGTAACCGCTGACGGAGATTTCCCACAGGGGGCTCTTGGGGTTGATGGCTGCATACTGGATGGCGCCCGTGTACTCGGAGGCATTGATGTAGCCAAAGTTGTAGTTGCCGGGCTTGCCCTTCTTGAGGTTGGCGGTGAAGAGCGGCTTCACGAGCTGGTCCTTGATGTTGTCAAAGTATGTCTTCTGCTTGGTGGGACGAACTGTATTGCCAGAACTGGCGGCGGCACCCAGAATGCCGGACGAGAAGGTGTCGTCGCTGATGTCTTCCGAGACTTGGATGGCAGACTCAACGGACTGTGCGTTGAAGAAGGTGTTGCCGATCTGTACACGGTCCTTGTAGACGATGCCGTTGGCGCTGGAACCGTCTCCATACTTGATAACCCATGATAGTCCACTCAGGCGTGAGCTTGTGTTTGAGGCACCGGGGTTGTAAATAGCCTGGCCTTGGACTTGAGACGGATATGTGTCTGTCGAGAAGACCCAACTATGTTTGATTGGTGTCAGAGGAAGGGATTTACTCTCTCATTACACTAAAATCGACTTACAGGTCTGATGAACCGGTATCAAGGTTTATTGGCACGGTTTGAGGTGGTGTGCCAATCTTGATAGGAATAACATATTCTGAATCGGCTCCCGGAGATGGTGTGGCAACGGCAGTGCCCGTCTGATTGCCTGTTTCTTCAATCAGCCCTATATGGTTCCTTGAACCACACCGTGATCCTAGACAGAGAGAACTTACCAGCATCAAGGAGAGAGCCAAATCTGCGGTGCAGATCTGGATTGGCCATAATCACATGTTTGATATGCTCCGGGAGCTGGGGGCTATATTTTGCCAGAGCTGCAATGTAGGTGGCGGGGACATTGGTTCCTTTGTAACGTTCGTTATATACTTGAGAGATGGAAAACGTCTTGCCTTCGGGAGTAATAGACTCAATTGCTTCACTTCTCGGCTGGGCCACTGCTGCCGAAGCAGAGTTTGCCAAATATGCAAGTGTAAGGGCAGTTGCGTGAAACTTCATGATGATATAGTGTAATCCGAAGAATTTACAGCGAAAAAAGCGACTATATCAAAGGAAGTATCAACTTCCAGCGGCTTTCCCGTCTTCAGTGTTTTGAAGCGAGACCAGAAGAAGCTGCTGATACAGAAGGGCAGAGCTGTGAATATTCACGACCTTGTCACTTATTTTATACACGGCATGGCATTCCGGGATGAAATGGGCTTCTACCCTTTGGATTGCATTCCCGTTGCAGTGTTTTACAACTTACTAGACCCCGACTTCCGAAGCCACTGATCATTGCCGTGTCTAGAGATCTTGGTTACCCCGTGATGGTCGCACAGGTCGCGGAATGGAATGCAATTGGAGGCATGTGCATGGGAATATTTGCAAGCTATAGAGAGCATGGTTTCCGTACGTCCATGGAAATTGCGGGAGGATAAGTGAATTTTGTGAGACATTCTTATTTTCCTTGGTGACGATCGTCGGGGATTGACCGAGACATTGAAAAATCAGCAGATATGCGTGGCTGTCCTTGCCCTTAGCCGTCGACAACTTAGCTGCCTCCGACGGTCACGATTGCATTTCAGTTGCAAGAAAAGCACTAGCAAAGCTTGGAGATGAGAGATTGATGACAGTGTTGATTTCGAATCTGTATGCATGGCGTTTGGGCTTGGATGCATATCCTCTGTCTCACTTGATCACACGGATGAGCTCTCATTGCCGTGGTTGAAACGGCATCTTACGGCTTTAAGCTCTGAGTCAACAAGAACAAGCTGACTCAGTGATGTGCTGTAAATTTGACTCTTTTGACTTACAAATGGCAACACCAGCTTTTTTGCCACGGCTTTGTAAAAAGAATTGGCAGGGATGTGAGACTCGGATTGTCGGATCGGGTTTTGGGGATGAGGAATATCTCTATCAGACTGAAGAGGCACTCGCCACAGCAGAGGATGACTGATGGACGGTTGATGTCTGGTACCTGACGAGCATGTACTCATTTACGGTGACCGTTGGTGACTCACTGGGAAAGATCCCCGCCATTGCAGTCCTACGTCAGTGGTATGGAGTGACTTAGCGCAAAGTACCTCGCGCTATGGGCATTTTTAGCAGCGGAAATGCGCCACCACACGGAAACTTCAAAATTTCTAGATAAGATAAAAAATCGACGGCGGGACGATTTTTTGTAGCATCAAGCCCAAGATTGGGAGCGTTTGCATTTGCGCACGACTGCAGTATCTTATTCTTCTTTTCTTCTTTCGTTGGTCTTCCCTTGCAGGAGAACAGACAATAAGCAGAAACACGCAGAAACAGAACCAAAAACGTCTGCAACATGGACGCTGAAGGTGTCGCAGCCTCCCCGGCAGCGCCTCACCAGCCACCATACCAATATACGGCCAACCAGGGTTATGAACAGACGGAAGAGGTGCCCCGCGAATTGCTGAGGCAACAGAATGCCGCCCCGCTTGCCGACGAGGACGAGGACGACGACTATCTCGAGGACATTTTCGACGAGGACGAGCAGGACGAGGAATGGGCCGCGGACGGCGACCTGACCAAGACGTACAACCGCCAGAGACAGCAGCTGACGGACGGCGCTGCGATCCCGCGGTCGAACCAGCAGAAGCCCACGGCAAACACATTTGCCAGCGTCGACGACCAGGTCTCTGCGCTGTCCAAACACGCCACCAAGATCCGGCTCGACAGTGTGAAGCAGGATGGCGAGCGAGACAAGGACAAGGCCGATCGGGCCACCAGCGAGCAGGTGCTGGACCAGAGGACGCGCATGATTCTGCTGCAGATGATCAACCGCGGCGCTGTCAGCGAGGTTCACGGCGCCATCAGCACCGGTAAGGAAGCCAACGTATACGGCGCCGTGTCGTACGACGAAGAGACTGGCGCTGCCACTCAGAGAGCCATCAAGGTGTACAAGACGGCCATCTTGGTGTTCAAGGACCGTGAGAGGTACATCACCGGCGAGCACCGCTTCAAGGGTGGCTTCGACAAGGGCAACAACCGCAAGATGGTCAAGCTGTGGGCCGAGAAGGAGTACCGTAATTTGAGGAGGATATACAACGCCGGCATTCCCTGCCCGGAGCCCCTGGCGCTGAAGCTGCACGTGCTGGTCATGGGCTTCCTGGGCGACAAGAAGGGCTGGGCGTATCCAAGGCTGCGAGACGCCAACCTCAAGGGCGACGACGTGGACCAGCAGTGGCAGAGCCTGTACGTGCAGCTGCTGGGGACGATGCGGCGCATGTACCAGGTGTGCAAGCTGGTGCACGCCGATTTGAGCGAGTACAACATCCTCTACCACGACGGCAAGCTGTACATCATCGACGTTTCACAGAGCGTGGAGCCGGACCACCCGCGGTCGCTCGAGTTCTTGCGCATGGACATCAAGAACGTGGGCGACTTCTTCCGGCGCAAGGGCGTCGACACGCTGCCTGACCGGGCCATTTTCAACTTCATCACCGTGCCTGAGGGGCCGGTCGAGGAGCCTGAGCTGGCGGAGGCGATTGCCAAGCTGTATGAGACGAGACATGCTGCTGCGAACGAGGAGGAGGCTGCTGCTGAGGAGGTGGACACGGAGGTTTTCCGGAACCAGTACATCCCGCAGACGCTGGAGCAGGTGTATGACATTGAAAAGGATGTCAAGAAGCTCGGTCTTGGAGAGGGCAATGAGTTGGTGTACAGCAAGCTGCTGGCTGACCAGGTTGTTGCGCCCAAGGCAGACGGCGAAGGAGAGGATGAAGATGAAGAAGATTCGGAGGACGAGTCTGGCGAGGGAGCTTCTCTTGGCAGTGACGATTCTGAGGATGATGAGAGTCGGTTTGACAAGGGACGGCCGAGAGGTCGCAAATTTGAGGACAAGGACGAGAAGAAGGTATGTTTTCTCATGATGGATGGTGTTGAGCTTGAGAGCGTGATGACTGACCTAAATTTTCTACTGCAGCAACATAAGTTGGCCGTCAAGGAGGCCAAGCGAGAGAAGCGAAAGGAGAAGATGCCCAAGCATCTAAAGAAGAAGCTCGTTTCTAGCACGTCAAGGAGAACGAAAAAATAAACGACTAAAAAATAAAAACAGGTAATTTTCGGAATTTAAAAAAAAAAAAGCATTTGGCCATTTTCTTTTTATCTTGTTCATTTCCTTGTGATACTGGTGCTATTGTTGACGCTCTTCATGTTTGGTGATAAATGCATAGTTGGACAGGGAGACATGTTGGATGATGAGCACTGACTGTCGCGATGAAGGCCAAGGATGGCGGTTTAACATCTGAGGATGGGTAACCCTATTCGTGGACTTTGTTTGCGATCTGAATTTGCGCGAGGGGTGACCCCGCGAGAATCTGGATGATCAAAGAGAGCGCTGACAACATGTCTCCTGGCCGTTGATAGTGTGCTTGCTTGCTATACACAGGTGAATGCATGATATTTAACCGCAGCGTGCTTTTGACGGTGACAATTTCATCATTATTAGGACTTGGGAAAGAATAATCTATATGCTAATCAAAACGACAGTTTCACCACCCCTTTCGTACATACAAGTAAAACACAATTAACCCGGTTGCTTTTTTGTGCACACTATGTGCGTATTCATCATAGTCATGGTCCATAATGTTACTCCCTACTCCCCAATCCATTACGATATCCATAAAAAACAGAATACTAGACTACATAGTTACCCACGATCCTCCTATCAAATTAGAAATAATACTGCTGGTGATTCTGACCCGGTGGAGGTTGCGCCAGGAAGTCAAAGTTGAAGGCGTCCATGCCAGTGTTCCATGGATCGGGAGGAGATTCTGAGCCGATTGTTAGTTTATCGGTGAGCTGTATCTGCTTGTCATGAGATTGTACTTACCAACCCAGATGGAATCGTACAACTCCATGGGTGCATTGTATTGCATAGGATCGACGATGGGCGGTATGCCGTCCATAGCGAGGTTGCTATTCATTTGCTGAGGGTAGCTCATTCTAATTTAGTGAGTTAGCATTCCTTTAGGCCTATAGAATAAAAAAAGGAAAACGCGTTTGCTGCTTTACGTACGCCGTCATGTCTTGCATGGATGAGCCGTTTTGCATCTCGGCCATGGCCATTGCTGCGTCTTCGCGGGCATCTGTCACCTGAGGCAACGGACGGAACGAAGGATTCGAGATCATGGCATTGTAACCGCCCTGGCCATTCAGACCGAGATGCAGGGGAGTCCTGCTTCCACTAGCGATAGCAGACAAGTCGCCTTCCCGCTTCAGGCTCGACATGTTGACTTGTCCGTGGTCGTAAATGTTCTTGAGGGCTGTAAGAGCTCTCCACAGGGGGCCCGAGAGCTCAATATCTTTATCAGTCTTGGCGACATGAGCCTCTGGGGAGCTAACCTCCTTGGCCGCCGTCGCAGAAAGTGCTTCAATTAGATCTCCCTGGAGCTGTCGAACCTCGGGGTCAGACTTGGTATCGGAAGAAAGGCCAAGCAGCAAGGCCGATGACAGGCCATGGTATGTGAAGGCCCAGCTTCGCGTGGGAATCACCGAAAGCTGGTGCATGGCAAGGAACATTTTCACCGTCTCGGTCAAATTGATCCTGCATCTGTCTGTCAGAGCTTGCTTTTGCGCCGGCTCAAAGGAGCAGTCCCTTCGAAGCGCCGGTCGGCATGCGACAGAGATAACAAAGGACGTATGAAGGCGGATGGCGAAGAATTGAAGACGATCAAGTGCCGTCTTGCACTTTTCTTTGTCCTGCATATGGGGTGCTGCCCGCTTACGAAGCTCCTCGACAGCCTCGCAATTCTCAAAGATCTGCTCATAGGAAGCGGAGGCCATTACATCGGGATTGAGTCGCCGCGAAATAATTTCGATGAGATTATACATCATCTCCAGATAGCCATAGTTTCCAATTGTTGCATCCAAATTGTGGGGAATCGGGCAGCTCGGAATGTTTGTCATAGAACTTCTATGTAGCCAGTAGAATTAGCATTGCATTTGGTACCTTGAAGATGAGCAACTAAATCTTACCGATCAAACGACAAGGATGTCAGGGTATCATGCCAGACACATGACCACCAGAGCCTGCGCCGAATCATTTCCTTGGACTTGGCGGCAGGGGGTGAATTCTCTCGACTGGCCCGGATGGTCGGGCGATGCAACCCCAAGGATTGAGCGAGGCGACACGTAAGGCCGGTGAGCGCCCACGATGCTTCAGCCTTCATATCATTGAGAAGAACAAAGTTTGTCAACAACAATGCTTGGATCGAGTCAAATGACGGCCTGTATACAGAAAACATGTGGTTAGAGTACAGATACAAGTATGCGCCTGGTGAGAGGCCTGTCATCTCACCTCAACAGAAAGTTGGCCAGCCGGAGTAGATGGAAAGAAATCTGGATGTATTTTTGCGAATCCTTTGTGCGGATATGGTACGGGGATTCATGGTACTGGGAGCCGACTGCCAAGACTGCAAATAGAATGGCCAGCCAAGAGGCCGTCACAGGCCTCGAGGCTTTAACGGATTTCGACGCATTTCGGGATCGATCCTCAAGATAGATCATGAGATTGGACTCAAGCTCATCAATGTCGAGAACGAAACCCCAGAACGGTTGCGGAATCTCCTTGTAAGTACGGAAAAGTCTGTTCAAGTAGCGTCAGTATGAGATTGCGTCTCATCAGACGGTAATCGGTGCTATGGCATACTTCATAACCTCTCTGTCCGACGGCAGCTCGGTGGCAATATCTCGAGCAAGCCGTTGAAGGTGAGTGGATGACATGAGAGGAAAGGGCGCAGAGGTATCTAGCCCCAGAATGGATCTCATGTCTCGTCGGATGTCGGTGCCGTCCTCTTTGTTGTTCGGCGATTGCTCTCCTAGTAGTGCCGGGATGCTGTTTTGTCCAACGTAACGGTCAGGCACTGAGTCAGAATCGTCCTGGTTTGTGGACAGTCCTATAAAGAGGTTATTCAATGAACTCGACACAAATAACTGAGCGCGTAACTGGATGCCATGAGCTCACCAATTGCTGGAGGCCAGCTTTCTTGGCGCTCATCTTTCACATTGTCGTCTCCGTCAGACGGTGAGCGAGCTCTCTTGCGACTATGAGAGGCGGTGGCATTGTGCTTGCTCGCCGAGGATCGAT